GCTATGACAATGTAGGGGAGACAACCAAAAGAAAGAGTATATTTTCCTCTGAAAAAGTTGCCAATCTTAGGGAATGAAAAAGCAAAGAGAGTATTGCATAGAACTGTAAGGTTATCAGATATCAAAAATAAGAATACTAACCCCAGGGTTATCTATTATTATCATTTTACAATTGTTCTTGAATTGAAGACATGTATCCCCAAATGCCAAACTGTACCGCCTTTACATTAAGGAAAACAATCTTAATGAAAAAACTCCTCATCCTTTCTAGTGGGCTGATGCGATCAGATTAGTGATATTATTAGTAATATTAGCATTTTCACACTAAATAACAAAAGTTAGATTAAACCTTGCATTGGGGGGGGGGGGGGGGTGGGGTGTTGAATGGTAGAGCATTGCTGAATGGTAGAGCGATGACTTAAGTCAGGTAACCAACACGTCTGAACATAGAACTGAGCACACTACCCCTCTGTATGCCAAGCTTAGTGAAACTGATAACCTCTCCTTCATCAGCCCTCATGGATTGCCAAGACTGGAAAGGGTTATTTTTAAGCTTACAATCAGCACTAACTAGAGACACTGCTAGCAGTACAGTAGTGCAATGTCCGGTAACCAGACCTCAACCATCAAGATAGTGAAACACAATGTGTTGTGCTTAGAATATTGGACAGGTGTGGTTGGATGGTAGAGCCAAAGGCTGCTAATCCTGAAGTCTTGAGCTGGAATACCAGGTTTGAGTTTGTAGGTCTTCCCAGAGCTCTGAAGGGTTCCTGACTTATGTCAGGGTAAACAATACAGATTGGGAAGAGCGCTGGCTTTACTATCCCTCTGTAAGCCGAGGTCATTGAAACAGATGAACTCTACTTCATCTGCCCCTATGGATCGCCTATGGTAACTTTAAAAATCAGCAGTAACCACAGAAGCACTGCTAATTGCGCTGCATTGCAATTTCTGGCAAAAAGTTGTCAACCCTCAAGATATGAATGTTTTTATTTGCTTTTTTCACCATCTAGTAGAAATTTTAAATTAAATAGAACAGTAAAAAAAAACAAAAAAAAAAACAGCCAGAAATCAAATGAGCAACACCATGCAAATATGCTGGATGTGTAAAGTTTTAATAAGCTGACTGTGCAACAGTACACACAATAGCAACACACAACAGGAATTTATACAAGGCATCCACACCTCTGATCAACAGCATACAGCAAGATTCACCCCACCACAACATTCCACTCAACTCCTCTTTGTCATACAATAGGAGGTCACAACCACTGGGGTCAACTAAGCATAAGGTCAAACTTGTCTTCCCGCTTTTGGGTTGCGTGTTCTGTATATTATTCATAAAAGCTTTGTCGGTGATAGTCAATTATAACTCCATACACAGCCATAAAATAAATGAATTATAACTAGTTCATGATACTAGTAAAAAATTTTAAAAAATAAAAAAAGTTTTTTTTAAACTATAAACTTTAAGACCAGTGAGACATAATTTTTTTAAACCTGAACTAATAGCAAACAAATCATTCTCATCTCACCTAGTAAATGTAACATCAGCTCAAATAAATAATTTTCCATTACTTTTTTTAAAAATTAAAGTAAACCTAAAAACAAACATCTCTCATCACACAAACCATAACAAAATGTTAAGTTCAAGCCTATCCCCAACTGTAAGGGCACCACTCTAAAAAAAAATAATCTAACAGAAAGCCTAGAGTGGAGCATAGGCAACGTTAATGGTCAGAATTACTCACACCACACACCCATGTTCCATGCAACTCACTTCATGTTCCACACAACACTGGCATATTTGATCCCCCTTTTTACATTGATAAAAAGTTGTTCAAAAACAATACTTCTAGGTGGAGAACAAATAAACCAGTAAGACCTCTGACTACAAATAAATGGAACATTTTAAATTGGTGATTAAAAAAAAACAAAAAGGTGTGGCCCACCCAGGCCACAGAAACCAGTGCTACTGATTGGCTGCCTCACAAGCATCAATCCAGTCACTGTAGACATCAATGGCTTCTGACAGATCTAGACGACAGTCAAGGATCTTACACTGTCATTTTTTAAAATTTTATTTGAATATGTAAGCAATCACACACATAAAATGAACACGTGTAATGAACTAATTTTAAATGTTAAGACAATTTTTAAGTAAAAGGATACAATTTATATTAGTTTGAAAATCTTCCAAGCAGACATTGCATGTGATGACACCTGTGTTTCTCTCTCTATCTCTGGAAACAAAATGTAAAAAAAAAATAATACATTAAACAATAATTGCCAATCATTTTTCATTAAACATAATTTACCATTAACAAGGACTTTTAAAATAAATAACCAGTAGCCTACTCACAGTTTAACTTCACAAGATTTTTGATGATTACAAAATGGGCAGTTGAACAGTGTGTCTAAAGGCACAATAGCTTTGCGTTTTGGTGGGGGCTTGTTAGCCTTCTTTCTGCGACCCATTTTTTCAATTCAACCTGCAGAATAATCAAACGCTTAATATACTGTATTGTCCAAATCAAGAATAATGTAGAATTAGAAAATTCAGAAAAAAGTTAAAGCCATTAAAATTAAACATACTAAGCACTACAGTGATATTTTTAAAGCGAGTGAAGCCATACAACTAAATTGAATTGATATAAAAATGATATATTAAGCAATTATACCAATTCAACCAGTTCAGTAGCAAAAAATGAGGCACTTGTAAAATCATTTTTTGTAAAAAAAAAAAAAAAAACCCATACATTTTGTGGAAAGGACTTAAAAAATTCTATTTTATCAAAATATTGAAATTTAGCCAGACTAAAAATGTCTCTCAATTTAAAGACTCCCACTAACTGTTCATATGGACAAATCAAAACTAGGTAAACCATGAAATAATTGTTCAATCTGACAGCCTAGCACCAGAGATTTTAATTTTTTATTTCTGTGATTCTTTAAAAAAAAAAAACAATTACTACAGTTGAGTTTATTATTTATATTTAGAATAGATCAATGAATTATATCTGATTTTTCTCAATTTTCTGCACATATTTTTATTTATGATTCCTAATGTCAACTAAACTTAAAACGTTAATTAGTACAATTAACTTTTTATATTAAAAATGATCAAATAAACTATGGTTTACAATAACTATTGACACCTAATGTTCTAAACTTAGCAAATATTTCCGGGTTATATCAAAAGCTTATCTTGAGATTACCCTTTAGAGATATTAAAACTTTAAAAGATAGCAGCTTTGTTTTGTTTTCATTGCACTGTAGAGAGACAAAACTAATAGTTATGATGTCATCGTCAATTTTAGTACCCATTTCTATTTAAGTCAGTTTAATTAAGAATTGTCAGGTGCACTTGTGACCTTATTTTTTTTATCTTGTAAGGGGCGGTTTAGTGAAAGTAGCTCTCTTTTTGAGTCTCTTATTCCTATTGTTCAGTTCATATCAAATAAAACAAAATGTTAACAAAACCAGCACATTGATGTTTGAAAGCCTAAGTTTTATTATTATACATGAAAATGTCTTTTAATAATTAATTTGGCCTAGTGTACAATCATATCGTCCAAAATATCACACTTCAATAATGCCACATTATTTTGGTGACAGGACAAATGATCTCAGACAAAATATCTCACGGACAAAATATATATGGACAAATGATCTCACAGCAAAATGTTAATAGTGTGTAGGATGATTTTAGTTGATAGACTTACTTAATCCTCATCACTCCCTGTGGAATATAGGGCAGCAACAAATCTCAGCCATTCCACTCTGTCCTGTTCTGTACTCCTATATGCTGCAGAGTCATGGAAACTAAACAAGAAAGGAGAGAGCTGACTCAGGAGCTTTGAAAGAAGATCCCTCTGTATCCTCAGAATAAAGTGGGACGACTAAGTCCTGAACAAGGAAATACGACGAAGGACATGATTAATCGACATTGTTTCAGAAGTTCGAATGAGGAGATGGAGATGGCTGGGCCATGTCATACGCATGAGCAAAAGAAGACTCCCCAACATGGCGCTGAAGTAGACTCCGACTGGAAAGCGAAAGAGAGGAAGACCACTGGGAACACGGAGGAGAGAGATGGAAGAAGAAGTACAGGCAACTGGCAAGACCTGGCATGAACTAAAGTGGCTCGTCCAGGACAGAGTGGAATGGCGGAGATTTGTTGCTGCCCTATACTCCCACAGGGAGTGATGAGAATTAAGTAAGTCAGATCAACTAAAATCATCCTAGACACTATTAATATGTTGCTATGAGATATTTTGTCTGAGATCATTTGTCATGGAACCCATTATTTTAATCTTATCAAACAAAATGCCTATGGCCAACAATATATCACAACTACACTAACATTTACTACACACTCGCCCCCTGTCTGTACTCTGATGTACTGTTACTTGCTTAGTAGTAGAGTAAGTTACTAGATCTAAATTTATTTAGTATTTAGTAGAGTAGTGATACTGGGTAAAACTCCATTTTAGCATATTTTATTCCCCGCTTCACGTTCACCTCCAGTTAAGCGTATTTTATTATAAACACAACCGAAACACACAAAAGCGGTAGGAAAACATTGGGCTTATTTCTTTATGAAGTTCTGATAATTTAATTTATTCGAAACTTAAAAAAATTCAAATTTGGAATATTGAATGTGCTTTTTTCGTGTGTCAGTTAAGATATTCATGGCAATGGGTGAAGTACGAAACTCACAATTGCAAGGCGGTTAAGTTTGTATTGTTACAAGTATCTCCCACTCATGATACTATAAATAAACTTTTATGAACTCACAATGATCCAAAAACTGAGGCCAACACCATTTCAAATAGCTATTGCCCAAGCTATGATGTATGCGGATAATTAAAGTCTTAGGCTAAAGACTAATTAAAGAGTTATGAACTCACTGTGAACCCTCAACCATGTAGGGATTTTTCTCCAGCTGACGATCACATGCTATTTAATTGGAACTGTCCTAAAGCTTTTTTATTACCTTTTCTAATTAAAACTCATATTCATAAGAAAAATAAGTAGATCTAGCTCTAATCTTAGTGTTTTCCTAATGTTTTTGTGAGTTTCAGTTGTGTTTAATCAGGCCTAATAAAAATAGGCCATAATATTAAATAATATTATAAAATAGAGTGATGTGCCACGCACGGTCAAAGCCTTGAAGCAATCATCGTTTATTGATTCGTGTAAAAATTGTTTGGATGTTTTATACGAAACTACCGGTATCAGCTGTACGCATGTCCATTTCTAAATATAACCAGGTCAAATTCTTTTGTTTTCTCCTTTAGGAAGACAAGTTTTTAAATTTTTAAGTTGAGGTATGACGTCAGCCGGTGATCCCAGTTCCCACGGATGAAAACACTAGGTCCGGGATGAGATGAATAAAACCAACCAATCAAAGCTTTTTAAAATTAGATTAACTATAAATAGCTTCTACATATGAGCGGGACTCTGTAAATACTATAGCTAAGGCTATTAAAGCAACATGAGAGGTGAAATGGGGGTGGCCGCAGCTTGGATAACGATTAGGGTGGCTTATCCTCGCCGCCTAACCAACAACTTGAGCTAGACTAGCCTAGATCCTCTATATTTCAAGCTAAGTCTAGAATCTGTATAGTTTATACATTTTTCTGTTGTTTTAAATTATTTCGATCATCTACTTCTTCTAGAACTAGTTTGTGTCTCCACATACAAGCATGTCTAAGCAAATGTTAGGTTATGTCTTGTTAGTGATTGTTACGATTGTTATGATTATTATAGTTGCGTCCCTTGAGTTATCACTGGGTCATCCGTGATGTGAAGTTAATAAATTTAATTGAAGTGTTTTTTATTTGGTTTTGCAATCTATTAAATAATAATACAATCAACAACATGTTTAAATTTTAAAAGTGTAAAATATTTATTTTAGCTATTAAAATGGGATTAAGACATATAAAATATGATCGTTAGGCTAACAGGTGCAGGCGATCGCGTGAGAGAAAAAAAGGGGGGGGGGGGGGGGGGGAAATATCGCAAGTAGTGAAGCCACTAAAATATGAATATCTCAAATTCTATGCATAGGAATACAAAATGACTTACGCATATTAGAGTAGAATGACAGCAGAGTAATACACTTTTTTCGGTTTGTTTCTGTGTGAAACGGTTACAAAATAGCGCCCGATGAAAATCGGGAGTTCGGAATTTTTTGCTAGATCAAGATCTATGTGTGATCGGCTGTGGCACTTCACTCACTCTACTACTATGCCAGTCTATTAGGTTTTCTTATTAAATTATTTAATTAAAATTGTCTGTCACTTATGATATATCATTACAAACTATATCACTTACTGGTTAATTTGAGACCAAATTTAATGGTCTAGCTTAATTAGGGGCCAAGAAAACAAACAAAAACAAAATGACCAATTAACTTCTTAAAATGCGAAAATCTTTTTCGCCATCAAAAAAGCTCAAAAAGTTACGTTGGTTTGTGTTTTCCATTCGTAGCATGATGTCATAGCAATTACGACAACATTGGGTATTTTAGTTACCAAAAAAAACCAAAACATTTTGTTGGAAATAAAACGTTATATTCATTATGTTTATTAAAGAAATATCAGACATATTTATTATAAATTCTATGTATAATGTACAATTTAAGACATTAGGCCTTCCATGATGAATTGAACAATCCATACCCATGAAGATGATAATAAAATTAATATCCAAAACTAAAAATAGATCTGACAGAAATCTAGATCTAGGCATTCTAACTGTAAAGACCATACAGTATTAGGTAAGATGATAAATCAACTTTTTTTAAAACTTTAAAATAAATACTCTATAATTATTTTTCTCTTCTGTAGTAGCATTAGGTTAGGCGAAGTTTTTTTTTTTTTTTTACCAGCTATGCGTAGTAAATCTATAGTCCTGTAAGCTTGCATGAACTTAAAATGACCCTAAGTTGTTTTACAATTTGCTTGGTTTGAGGGGAGGGGTGGGATTGCCCACCGACGATCTCTAACAGCAATCGTTAATGCTGTGATGTATGGTAGGCCCGCTGAACTCACGGTGAACCCTCGACCGTGTCAACATTTTTCTCCCGCAGACAAGAAAATGTAAGCAGTCGATCTCGCGAGCGATGCGAGCGACAATGTTTGAAAAATCTTGAATAATTATTTTATAAAATATTATTTCGATCAAAAAAATATTTAAAAAAAAGAAACAAAATAAAGCCGCTCGTGGCATTTCCTATGTGAAACAATAAAATAAAGCACAACTGATTTACTTCGGACTCGAACTCGGAGATTCTAATTTCTAGGTCACCTACCACACCGTTCTGTTTACTCTGCCACACACCACGATGTATTGGAAAATAAAATATTAGACATTTTGTATCAAAAGATTGCTAAAAGGAAATAAATACTACTTTATTTATTGATATCGTACTACGTAGTAACTGAGTAAATTTTACACACAATTCCTATATGTTTAACTAACACAACAGCATTAACGAGGTTGACCAAGTCTAAAAATTAAAAAAAATTGCCAGTAGGCCTAATTAGATTTAGCACAAAAAAGGCTCGGAATGAGCATTGTTTAAAATACAATACTAAGGCCTAATTAAAAACTACATATAATTTCATATAAATTATGCAGTCGGGTAGGCCACGAAGTATTTAGATCTAGTATTTACAAGGTCTAACGACCATTCATGAATTATGTTCAATAAAACTAACAGTGCAGTCGGCCTACTTGGCTTGCAGTGAAGAAAAAAAATCAATATACTTTTAAAATTACTAATACTTTAATACAATAATAATGTCCACAATTTCTACACACGCTACAACTGAATTATAATTAAAATACTAGACTAGACTTAACAGTGCATTCCGCAAAAAACAAAATTTAGTTGTTTCTATCTGACAACTAGCGTAACAATGACGTAACGTTACTAAAAATAGCAGAGGCATGGTATTTCTATGGTGAATTGGTTTTTGCAAAGGGGAAACATCATCAATGTAATTAATCATGGTAAATATCTCAAATATATATTTCTCTAGGATCTGTCGAGCGCTGTTGCACGGTGGTCGGTCGTTTTTCGTTGAAGTTCAGTTTCTCCTGAGAGTGCTCAACAAGCAATGCTTGTATTAATTATAACTACATATCTCGCAAATTTTTCTGGCATTTAAGCCATATTATCCATTTCCTTATCATTTCGCATTAAAATGATGAGATATTGCTAGATTAGCAGTTTTTTCATTTTTGTATATACTATATAGGACCCCCCCAAAAACATTTAAAATGCGAAAACCAAAAGAGCATGACGTTTCAGGGTCAGGCTCTGACTTCCGGTTTTGGTAAGGAGATTAACTACAGTCTATGTCTATGCTCAGGCGGAGGTGAACGTGAAGCAGCAAATAAAATATGCAAAAAATTGAGTTTTACCGTGATTCTGTAATGTACATCCTACAGTACAGTCAACGGTCTAGATCTAGAACGTAGATCTTGATATAGACTCTAGATTCATTTCTACACCACACTCACAGTTTACAACTTCACACACACTGACAGTGACAGTAGTGACACACAGGAATTCAAGGGAATTTTTTTTTTTTGAAATGTGTTCAGTCATTTTTATTATCTAGATTCTAGATCTAGATCACAGATCTACAACGTTTAAGCCGAATGTGTATGCTTTTAAAGATAAAGTTTATTTAAAAGATTAGTTATTGCAAAAAAAAAAGAAGTAGAATCTAGATCTACTTACGTGTTTAAACCCGATTATTTTCTTTATAAATTGTCAAATATGGATTGTTGTTACTTTCATCAGCGTGTTTAGTGCGAATTCATTGGCCAGGTGTTCTGTGATGTTCAGCTGCGAAAATCAAAGGACTTATAAATTCGAATAGTGACACAATAAAGTCTATTATCTATAATAAATTACTTCATTCAGTGTATTTTTAATTGTTTCTCACAAATATTTTAATTTATGCAAACAATGGTTTTATTAATCATCGCACAAAAATAGCATACTATATTTTTTTACTTTTAAAACAACTAGTGCAGCTTGGCCCCATATTAAAAACGCAGTCGCACTAATAACCGAACAATTTTAAAATAGAATTAGATCTAGAGTCTAGAGTCTAGAGAAATCTAGTGCGTAGCGATAACAAGTATGCAAAATAATGCAATAGATTCTTTTTGGTATTTGAAATTTCCGGGTGGGGGGGGGGGGGCGGACACTGTTAAAAGTAAATATTTTCTATATAAATTCCATTTCGTTCGGGGGGGGGGGGGGGGTTGCGGTAGACTTTCTTTGGAAGAAACTCTGATTGCTGGGGGTATGGTAAGGCCCGAGGCTTGGGATCAGAGTTTCTTCCAGGCATCTCTTCGGGAGGGGGGGGGCTTCCCCGAAAAATTTTTACCCCCCCCCCCCGAACGAAATGAAATTTATATAATTTATATAGAAAATATATACTTTTAACAGTGCCCCCCCCCCCCGAAGAAAGTTTACCACCCCCCCCCCCCCCGAAAATTTCAAGTGCCCCCCCCCCCCCCCCCAGGAGAAAAAAGTCTGGAAGAAACCCTGCTTGGGATTGAGTAACATTACAATGCTTTGTAGGTCTAGCCTACCAGCATTAACAGTTTTTAAAAATTGTTGAATTTTTAGGAGTCGTCCATAAGAGACGTTTCTATCTATTTTCAGATGTTCAGTGCGAAATAACAGCAAACCTTCTATTTTATGTATTGCTTTTTAAAATGCAAAAGTGGGACTCACACTTTTCTAGCTTCTCTAGCCAAAATTCATCGCAAAAGTCCAACCCCCACCTCACGAGTTGGGTCGTCCATAAATGACGTCACACTTGGAGGGGGAGGGGGGTCCGTATTTTTGTGACGGCGTGTGATGAGGGAGGGGGGGGGGTTCAGATTGTGTGACGTCACACTTTTGCATTTAAAAAAAGCAATGTTAGAAAACAAATTTTAGCCGTTATTTCGCGTTTTAGCAAACTGTTTTAATAAATTGTAATAGGAATTGATTAAAATACTCTATATAGACAGAGTTTAGACAAGATTTAGGAAAAATATCGTATTTTAAGAACAATTCAACTGCAATTTTGATGGGGGTTGTACGCTTAGGTGTGACGCCATTTTAAGGGGGGGGGGGGATCTGGCTTTTTGTGACGACGTGTGTCGAAGGGGATGGGGGAGGTAAAAAGCGTCCAAAAAAAGCGTGATGTCATTTATGGATGACCCCAGTGTGACGTCATCTATAAGCATTCTCTTTATTTACATCTCCTAAAAGTTGTTCTTTTTTGTGTCAGATGTGTATATTTCACAAGCGACCAATGATTGAGTCACCTAGTATAAAGTACAGAGGCGTAGCGATGTGGGGGGGGGGGGGCAGGGGGGAACATATGTCCCCGGGCGCCGACCTTAGGGGGCGCCAAAATGGGTTGTAAAAACAAATTAAAATGTCATTTTAGCTGCATTTTTGCAATGTGAGTGGGGGGGGGGGGGGTGCAAATCGGAAGTTTGGGGGGGGGGGGGGTGTGCAAATCGAAAATTTGAGGGGGGGGGGGTGCAAATTGAAAATTTGCTCCCGAGGGAGGCGCCAAATTGAAAGTTTGTCCCCGGGCGCCGGGAAGGGTCGCTACGCCTCTGATAAAGTACTTTCTTCTTCTTTTTCGTTCTTAATTTTTAGTGTTGGAAGGGATCAAACCTTATCTGCCAGAGAGTTTGAACTCGAGACATTTTCGAATTTATCAACCATAAGCTTTTGTCGACTCGACTACGCCTCCATCACAATTAAGGATACGTGTCAACTGATTATGCGCCATTGAGGCAATTGACTCCGATTTCAGCTTGCTTTTCTTTTTGGATTTGCTTCCATAGCCTTCGTCCAAGCACGAACAAACTACTAGGCAGCAGTTGTTTGATTTTGGAGTCGTCTCTCCTAGAAGAGGGGCTGTCCCCAGCTAACGAGCCTCATCTGCCCGGGGGTTCGTACTCGAGACTTTTCGGTTTAGCAACCATGAGCTTTACCGACTTGACCTCGCCGAGAACTTACTTACTTAATCTTATTTGCTCCGTGTGTAGCATAGGGCTTCAATCATAACCATCCATTTTGTCCGGTCCCCGGCTGTTGATTTTGCAACCTCCCAAGACATCCCTGCTGTCTACAGTTCTTCAAGAAGACCCCGCGTTCAGGTCTGTCTTGGGCCCCCTCTTTCGCATTCCCTGGGGAATTCACTTAAGCGCCTGGCGTGTCACATTAGAGTGACCCTTTCGCAGTGTGTCCCACCCAGCGCCACTTCCTCCTTCGATTTTAGTTTGCTTCGGTTGAAGAAGGGGCGTCGGCTCTGAAGCTTCCTTGCGGATTTGGCTGCATTGCGTCATCCTTCTCCTACGTAGAGCCCTGGTTTTTTCCGAGGACTGGATTAATTTCAGATTTGGCTTCGGTTTCTGTAACTATACTTTGTTTTATGTGGACGTGAAGTTAGCCTATCGCACTACCCTCAACCTGGAGGACCAGGGCACAACGTTTGGTCTGGCACCTACCTGCGCAGATATGTCAGACTTGGTTAGACCTGTGCGGGAGCAGTAGGCTCCCGCCGGCGTAGCTCTGGGAATGGGGGGGGGGGGAGGGGAGTCACTGGGGCACACAAGCCATTCCACCATTTCAAGGCAGTGTGCCGTCAGTATGGCTAGTATAGTATAAAGTAGCATGTATAGTCATATATAGGCACAGGCAGGGGCGTAGCGAGGGGGGGGGGTGCGGACCGCACCGGGTGACACCATTTAGGGGGTGACACCAAGGCAAAAAATAGCAAAATATATAGAGAAAAACTTGAGGGGGGTGGGGGGGGGGTGCAAAACGAAAACTTGAGGGGGGGGGGTGCAAATCGAAAACTTGAAAGTTTGTCCCCGGGAAGGGTCGCTACGTCTCTGAGGGTGACACCATTAAGTGCCCGACCTCGCTACGCCACTGGGCACAGGCCTATGGTATTGGTGGGTAGGTCAGTGCCGGGGTTTCTTTCAGGCATCTCTCAGGGGGGAGGGGGTACTAACCGTGAGAGCATGCCAACCGTCCCTTCCCCACCGATACAATAGCAATAGTTCCCCCTCCCCCCCCTCCCCCACCTCTCCAGGAGAAAAATGTCTTAGAGAAAACAAGCCAGTGCACAACTCTAGACTATTTTTTTTTATAAAAAAAAATTTCTTACCGAAGCTTGTATAGTTAATGTGCTTTTGTTAATGTTGAAATGTATGGGCTCTATAACTAAATGCACATTAATTTAATCAATTGATGTACTTGTAGCTAATAAATAAGTGTTGTAGTACAAAGTCAGGGACTTAAAAAGGCGAAATTAGGCATGACCTAGGTTGTTTTAAAAAGAAAATCAACAGACAATCAAACTATTTAAAATAAAAAATTCCCAGATAAACATTAGCAAAAGCAAAGTATATAGCGTGCTAATGTAGCTCACGTGGTTAAAACAGAAGGCACGCCTATAAATTAGCTTAATTAAATCAGAGGCGTTGCACACTTTCAGCGCTCTAAATTAGAAAAACACGACGTGTAAAATAGCTTGAGATTGCCGCGGGGATGAGCCGCTGTGAGTTTTATCCAGCTCATAGAATCTGGGGCAAGGTGTCGTCTGGTTTTCTTCGCATGGTCTGCACAGGTGATTTCTATACCTGTTGATCTTACCGCATGACGTCACAACGCGAGCTTCCATAGCACGTTCAACCTTCAATAGGACTAGTTAATTATCATTAACTATTTTAAAAAAAAAAAATTCATTATAAAAAGGTAGAATTATTTACATACCACATAATAAATTATAATAAAATATGAATACGAAATAAAAATGAATTATATCTTGATAAAATAAAAATAGGTGCATAGAGATGCACATGTTCTATTTTTAACCAGCGTGAGTGGTTAGACGCGATTGGAAGATCTCCAATCCTCTGACGTGTTTTAGTGTGTTTAGTTTATAATGTGTCGTCTTGTTGTTTTTTTCTTTGGGTTGTTGGCCCTGGTGACGACATGGGGACAGAGGGGTAAGTATTAGGTGCTAAACATTTCCAAGATTTTTTTTTCTGTTTTAAAGAATATCTTACATAGATTACAGGGATACAACTCTAGCATCGTCTGCTGGTGAAGACTGGAAGAGCGATGAACTGCTTGGTTATTTATAAAGTTTGTCCGTAAGATGGTTATTTATAAAGTATGTCCGTAACATGGTTATTTATAAAGTATGTCGGTGACATTAAGTTAGGTATGAAGTAAGTCTGCTCATTGCATCACTTAAGGTAGGGTTTGGGGTGGGGGGGGGGGGAGTGGAGTGTTGTGATTTATTTAAGGATGTTATACGTGGGTAGTGTATGTAAGGGGGAGGTGGTAATCAAATGTAAAAGTAAAAATATAATTTAGAACCTGACAATGCATGGGGTAGGTGATGTAGAGTTTACCTGTTTCAGTCACCTCGGCATATGAAGGAATAGTGTGGCCAACACTAAGCCCAGCCACCTTTACTTCCTTTAACGTGAGCAGTATTTCTTTCAGACATCATTCTTTCTCCCGGGGGGGCACTTGAAATTTTCGGTGGGGGGGGGGGGGGGGCGGACACCGATAAAAGTACATATTTTCTATATAAGTTCCATTTCCTTCGGGGAAGGGTAGACGTTCTTTCGGGGGGTTAATAATTTATCTGTTCCAGTGCCCCAGTTCTCCAACCGCGTGGTACGGTGCGCGGGAGTCTACTACCCCCGCCTCGGCTGCTTCAGCCGCTTGCCGCCCTATAACAACACCGACAGACTACCGGCGGACCCAGCAGACGTCAAGACCAACTTCAGGCTGTATACGCGATCGAATCCCTCCACGCCAGACAGATTGAAGTCGGACGACCGGTAGGTACACCCAGAGGCGTAGAGATGGGGGGGGGGGATGAGGTGACACCCGACCTCGCTACGCCACTGGGTACACCCGCTACCTCAACAAACCCCGTTGTTTATTTGTATACCATTTAAATGAGTAGGCGCCGATAAAAAAAAAAAAAAAAAGAAAAAAAAAATTAACCTTTCTAACACTCGTTAGAAAACAATCATTTCTCTATAACTTTTTGAAGGTGCATCCGCATATGTATTTCATTTAACAAAATTGGTTGGAAAATTTTGGTAACTATGACAACGGTGACCATCTTGAAAAAAATTACATTTTCGTAGGATTTCCGACATTTATAAAGTATTATATTTTTACCTGTTAACCCTCTAACCACCAATTGTTGACTGTGAACCCTCTAACTACCAGGTCCACGAATTGTTGACTGTTGACCCTCTAACTACCAGATCCACGAATTGTTGACTGTTAACCCTCTAACTACCATGTTCACCAATTGTTGACTGTTAACCCTCTAACTACCAGGTCCACCAATTTTTGACTGTTTACCCTCTAACTACCAGGTCCATCAATTGTTGACTGTTAACCCTCTAACTACCAGGTCCACCAATTGTTGACTGTTAACCCTCTAACTACCAGGTCCAGCATCAGTGGTTCTCACATGGACGCGAGTCTACCTATCAAGGTTCTCATCCACGGCTTCCTACAGAACGGGGACATGGAGTTTCTGGTTAACATGACCCAGGCACTGCTCACCCACGTAACTGATCTACTTTTTTTTCTAAGATTTTTTTTTTATTTCATCGTAATGGGACTCAAGGTTTCTTTCAGACATTTTTCACAATTTTCTCCAGGGGGACGGAGAGGGGGGACGGGGGTGGGGGGGGGGGGGGCACACACTGGTTAAGTAAACAGGATCTCCTTCAGACATTTTTTAATCCGGGGGACCGGCGAAACACTCACGGTAGCCGTAAACTGGTTATATATTTTCTATATTATTATATAGTAAGCCTACACAATGCCCAGCCGCCTTTACTTTCTTTAACGTGAGCAGTGTTTCTTTCAGACTAATCGACTTCTTTGTATGAAATAGATACATTTCCAGCTATTCTACTGAGGATCCACTCATCCATCAAGCACGTGTATCTAAGCTCTCCCATAGTATCCACTGACCCATCATCCACGGATATCTAAGTTCTCTGTAGTATCCACTCACCCATAGTATCCACTCATCCATAGTAACCACTCACCCATCATCCACGGATATCTAAGTTCTCCGTAGTATCCTCACCCATCATCCACGGGTATCCAAGTTCTCCGTAGTATCCTCACCCATCATCCACGGGTATCCAAGTTCTCCGTAGTATCCTCACCCATCATCCACGGGTATCCAAGTTCTCCGTAGTATCCTCACCCATCATCCACGGGTATCCAAGTTCTCCGTAGTATCCTCACCCATCATCCACGGGTATCCAAGTTCTCCGTAGTATCCTCACCCATCATCCACGGGTATCGAAATCCAATGAAAACAGTAGTAGTCGACTGGGCTTCCCGCTAATGCTCCTCTCAATCATAGTCTCTAAATCTGTTGAACTGCATCTGCTGCTGTACTGAAACCCAGCGATTACCATACTACAGTTAAGCCACTACTCCCCAAATAGTCCTTCCCGGCGCCCGGGGACAAACTATCGATTTGCACCCCCCTCCTCAAACTTTCGAGAACTTTTTCCAACCCATTTTGGCCCCCCCCCCCGTCGCTACGCCTCTGTCCTATACCCCCCCCCATAATCACCAATCACCACCATCACCTATCTCCTGCAGGCATCAGCGAATGTCCTGGTCGTAGACTGGAGCGCCGGTGCCGGCTTCCCTTACACGCAGGCGGTGGCCAACGCGCGTCTGGTCGGGGCGGAGACCGCCCTGATGCTCCGTGAAGTCTTTGACGCCCTCGGCGCCCGGGCTGACCAGGTGCACGTCATCGGGCACAGCATCGGCGCCCACATCGCGGGCTACGTGGGCGCCTTGGTACCGGAGATCAGCAGGATCACAGGTGAGATTGGCAGGTGAGACTGTGTCAGGTGAGACTGTGTCAGGTGAGACTGTGTCAGGTGAGAGAGTTTCAGGTGAGAATGTGCCAAGTAAGACTACGCCAGGTGAGACTGTACCAGGTGAGACTGTGTCAGGTGAGACTGTACCAGGTGAGACTGTGTCAGGTGAGAATATGCAAGGTGAGACTGTGCCAAGCGAGACTGTGCCAAGTGAGACTGTGCCAGGTGAGACTGTGCCAGGTGAGACTGTGCCAAGTGAGACTGTGCCAAGTGAGACTGTGCCAGATGAGACTGTGCCAGGTGAGACTGTGCCAGGTGAGACTGCCAGGTGAGACTGTGTCAGGTGAGACTGTGTCAGGTGAGACTGTGCCAGGTGAGACTGCCAGGTGAGACTGTGTCAGGTGAGACTGTGTCAGGTGAGACTGGCAGGTGAGATTGGCAGGTGAGATTGGCAGGTGAGACAGTTTCAGGTGAGACTGTGTCAGGTGAGATTGGCAGGTGAGACTGTACCAGGTGAAACTGCTAGACGACAATTAATCAACGAAACATCTACAATCACCCTATGTAATTTGGAAATAAAGTGTTTGTTTGATTTTATACATGGCTTATTTATTTTTAAAAAATAGGAAAAAAAATCCGCAGTTTCAATGATTATGTTCGCTATTGATTCATCATATGAACACCATATCACACGTTTTCCCCATTCTCAACAGGCCTGGATCCCGCTCAACCGAATTACTCAGGGTTCGATCCGGCTGTCAGATTGGATACATCCGATGCCAAATTTGTGGATGTTATCCACACGGATGCTGAGCCGTACACTACCGTCAAAGGTAGGTCTATATCTCAGTGACCTTAGTGTGATTTACCTACCTCGAAGTAACATAGTAAAATTAGTAATATTAGTTTGTATTTGCGAATTTTTCTGTTTGCGCAATTTTCCGTTTGCGCATTTTTTTTTTGGGGAACCGCCTAAAATATAGTTATAGAAAAATACTATTAGCGCTAACCAAGACACGCCCTGGCTGTACATATGTTTGTTTCTGGAAGGGTACGGCATCATAGAGCCCATTGGTCACGTGGATTTCTACCCCAACGGTGGCAGGAACCAGCCCGGGTGCGCCGAGGAAGATTCGCTGCTGGGCTTGGTTGAGGACGTGCTGAGTAACGGAATCACAAGTGAGTGCTCAACAGCTTGATGTGTGAGTGCTCAACAGCTTGATGTGTGAGTGCTTAACAGCTTGATGTGTGAGTGCTCAAAAGCTTGATGTGTGAGTGCTCAACAGCTTGATGTGTGAGTGCTCAAAAGCTTGATGTGTGAGTGCTCAACAGCTTGATGTGTGAGTGCTCACCGGCTTGATGTGTGAGTGCTCAACAGCTTGATGTGTGAGTGCTCAACAGCTTGATGTGTGAGTGCTCAACAGCTTGATGTGTGAGTGCTCAACAGCTTGATGTGTGAGTGCTCAACAGCTTGATGTGGGAGAAATAAACAGCTTGATGTGTGAGTGCTCAACAGCTTGATGTGTGAGTGCTGAACAGCTTGATGTGTGAGTGCTCAACAGCTTGATGTGTGGAGAAATAAACAGCTTGATGTGTGAGTGCTAAACAGCTTGATGTGTGAGTGCTCAACAGCTAGATGTGTGAGTGCTCAACAGCTTGATGTGTGGAGAAATAAACAGCTTGATGTGTGAGTGCTAAACAGCTTGATGTGTGAGTGCTCAACAGCTTGATGTGTGAGTGCTGAACAGCTTGATGTGGGAGAAATAAACAGCTTTATGTGGGAGAAATATAACCAGCTCTATCAGTGTTACTTCCAGACTTTTTTCTCCGAAAGAGACAAAGGGGGGGGGGCACTTAACATTTTCGGGGGAGGGGGGGGGGGACGACGACGACGGACTAAAACTTCCGGGGGGGGGGGGCGACACTGTTAAAAGTATATACTTTCTACATAAATTCCATTTCGTTCGGGAGGGGGGGGGGAAGCTCCGCCACCCCGAAGAGATGCCTGGAAGAAACACTGAGCTCTATGTGTAGGTAGCAAACAGCATTATGTGTGATTTATAAACAGCTGTATGTATGAGAACTGAACAGCGTTGTGTGAAAGTGCTGATGGGATTGATATTAGGGTGCCAAAAGCGCTTAATTAGTGAATAGTATTTATTAAAGAGATACACAGGCTAAATGAGGTGTTCCCAAAATAAAGGAAAGATATTGCAACCCATAAAAAAAACGCATAGAGAATCGGCCGGTTGCAGAATTTAATCGGTATGGTACATCGTGTTTTCCCGTTCGTGCCCAAGACTTACGGGGCGGATGAAGTAGAGTTCATCTGATTCATAGACCTCGGCATATGAAGGGATAGTATGGTCAGCACTATGCCCAGCTGCCTTTGTTTCCCTAACGTGAGTTAGGTACCCATCAGAGCTGGGTGGACTCAGGGACGGTCTACTGACTTGAACCCGGATTCGAGCTTGAGACTCTGGTCTACTTCACCTGCCCTATTATTAACGATCTGGTCTAAGGAGCTAGCTTTTCCCTTACTGTACATCAGAGGCGTAACGAGGGGGGGGGTGTGGACCGCACCGGATGACTGACACCATTTAGGGAGGTGACACCAAGGGAAAAAATAGCCAAATATATAGAGAAAAATGATAATTCCACTTAATTAAGTGATTAATTCGAGTGTTAAATAATCTTTTAAGATGTACAAATCGAAAGTTTGAGGGGGGGGGGGGTGAGGGGGGTGCAAATCGAAAGTTTGAGAGGAGGGGGGTGCAAATCGAAAATTTGAGGGGGGGGGGTTGTAAAGGAAAGGGTCGCTACGCCTCTGCTGGGGGGTGACACCATTAAGTGCCGCACTGGGTGACACCCGACCTCGCTACGCCACTGCTGTACATCATACACTATGTTACATGTCTGACAGTATGTGTGTAAGTGTGTCAATACCAATGACCTAACCAAAGCTAACACATCTCTTTCCATCGGCAGCCGCCGAGGTGGACCTAACATGCAGCCACGAAAGGTCCACCTCTCTGTTTACGTCCTCCATCATTCAGAGCTCCGCCTCCAATGGCCGCCAATGTCACATGACCAGCTTCCCCTATGCAGCAGTTTTGAAAACTTCACCAGAGGAGAGTGTCTGGGCTGCGGGAATTACCCGTGTCCTACCATGGGCTAATGACTATGCCAGCCGCCCCTTCTTTTCAAAACAGAGGCGTTTTTTTTTACTTGAAACACCACAGCGGCGTATCCATTCTGTGGTAAGTAATAAAAATCTCCAGTTTTTTGTTGAAACAAGGAAAATTTGTTGAAAACATTGTTACATTTGTTTGTTTGCCTAAGAATATTTCTGTCTGAACGATTACGAATACTCTATCGCTGGGTTAACACTGGTAAAAGTATATAATTTCTATATAAGTTCTATATTTTAATATTTCGGCCGGGGATCAATACCCCCCCCCCCCCCCTCGAAATTTTAATGAACCTTCCCCCTAGAAAAATGCCTGAAAACCCTGCTTTAGTGCAATTAAAAAACTAATGTTCCAAATTTAACAAACATGTGTAAATAATTAAAATAAGGTTATCTTCAGAATGGGACGTAAAATGGGATTACTGAAGTAGAGTTGATGTTTCTTTGACCTCGGTTCTAGAACCAGCAAAATACTCCATCCCGTCTCTACCGTTCTGCTGTAGACCCAAGGGACATAAACCTTAAACTAATGAGCTGTACCGAAGTAGTAGTCGAACTTGACAATATTTAAACAAATTTGTTAAGAGTTTCACTGACGTCAATGTATCTGACATGACGTCACACATGCAGTTTTGACACTGGCGAATATGGATTAGAGACGCTACTGTTACAACCCCCCCCCCCCCCCCAAACTCTTCTTTACCACAGGGTACCACTACTTCGTCGCCATCACCATGGCAAAGCAAATGAAACTCAGAACTGGCCAGATCAGTTTGCAGCTAAGTGGGACCAAAGGAACTGGTGAATGGACCAACATAGATTCGTAAGTTTTGCTAATGTAAGAATATCTAGACCTTTAGTTCATTGGTAAGTCAGTGGTCGGTAAAGCTCATGTTTGCTAAAACGAAAAAGTTCGAGTTCGAGCTCTCCCCCCCCCCCCCCCCCCGGGTAGACGAGACTTGTTAGCTGGGGACAGCAACACATCAATAAATTGCTGCCTTGTAGTTTTTTTTTTGCGTGATCGGGAAAGAGTGCGCATGATTGCTAACTACAAAAGTCCTGAGTTCGAACCCCTTATAGATGAGGCTCATTGGCAACTCCAGCCACAAAATCTGCCTTGAAGTTAGTTCTTGGGCGGTTTAAAGCTATGGGTGCGATTCCATTAGAGAGCAAGATAAAGTGGTCCTAATAGTAATGCTTAATGTTGAAGGAAACACCCTGAATAGTACATTTAAGAAAATAATAGATTTGTATCGCTTTTGTTATGGCTGTATTACTTTAGTTGTGACTCTATTACTTATTTCATGTCTGTATCAATTTTCGTAGCAACCTGCAGTATATCTACTTTTGTAATGGCTGTATTGTACAGTGTATAAATTAGTCCTGCTTTTGTTATAGCTGATTCATACCGTAACGATGAAAAGAAAAATGGCTGAGCAATCAGCACTTGACATATTTTCAGAAGGAGACTAACAGGGGGCGAGATCGTCAAGAAAATGATCATCAGCGACCTTGACATTGGCGAGGTCACCCAAGTCAAGCTCAAGTTTTTCCCGGACAGCCGCGCCAAGAGAAACCAGGTCGTGCTCGTGCAGAAGGTCGAGGTCAACTGTCCAGCACGTTTTCCAACGTGAGTACAAAACGTGCACACTTTGCTTCGGTCATTTTGCACCGGGCGGGGTGGATACTGGTTATACTTCATATTTTTCTTTTTCTATGGGGGGGGGGGGGGGGGGGATAGACGTGTCTCGAAAGGAGGGGCGCAGTGCCTCCCCTCAAGAGATGCCTGAAAGAAACTTCACACGGGCATACGAGCATCAGGCCTCTCGAGTCATGGCTACAGATTTTTGCTAGAAATGTATGCATTTGCTAATTAAATTCTGCAGGCCAACTTTCTTGAGTTTATGGACACTCAACTATGACGCATGAATATGTTATTAGTTTGACGTGGCCTATGCGGTAGAGCGCTAGGTTGTTAACCCGAAAATCTCGAGTTCAAATCCAAGTCAGTCCTGGAGTCCACCTAGCTCTGATGGGTACCTAACTCATGTTAGGCGACTGGGCAAAGTGCTGACCACACCTTCCCTTCATAGGCTGCAGTTAAGAAACATGAACTATTAATTCATCTGCCCAATAGATTGCTATGTCTAAATAGGATTCTAGAATCTTTTTATGTAATCAGTTGACTCATATAACTTAACTACCCTAACAAAGTTACAACTGTGTTATGATTTACCACCCACTCATTATTGGGATACTTCAAACCTTTTCTCCACAGAAAATATTTTACAGGGAAAACATTTAAAGTCAGGTCCACTGGCATCACACTGTCCGGAGGTGACTTCACACTACCCGCAGCTAGTTAGTTAGTGGATACTGCCAACAACGAGCTAGTAAAGGACACTACCAATAACTAACTATTAACATAAGAAACAATGTATATAAAGCCAAACTAACAAGATTCATGAAGCAACAAAAGATGGTGGTTTATGAATGTTTTGTTCATTGTTCAGTTTTGTAAATAAAAATATCTATTATATAAGTTTTATATATTTTAGTATTCACTCATAGTGTAAAAATTAGCCTAAGTTAGTGAATTCTTAAAGCTGATTAAATTGAAATAGAATATTGACCTTCTTTAGAGAATTTTATGTAAAATTCACAAAGAATTTAAAAGAAAAACAACTTTTATAATATTTTTTTTAAATTTTAGAATATAATTCGAATTACTAGTAGATTTTAAGTTAGATGGCAAAATTAAAACTTCTGAAACACAAATTAAAAAAAAAAAAAACAACAAACCGAAAACTAACAACAAACAAAGGCATGGCTAAAATCTAAAAAATAGTTTACTTGCCACAAACAAAAACAAGTCACTGGTTTATTGAGAGAGAAAAAAAAATCTACCAACAAAAAAATAAAAAAATAACAGTAATTGCCTAATATACATAACATGGTCAACTCAATTTGTATAACAAAAGCTTGGTGCAGTTATATGTTGAAGTGGTTCATCTAGCAAACAAAAAAACAACAAACAAAACAATGTTGCTCTCTTAAGTTAAAGAGTGCCTTAAAGGTCAAGGCCATTGGTAAACTCAATAGGATGGGAAAATGTGGTCATGTGACTAAATTTACATATAAAAACCAATGACAAAACTTTGATATATAATCAAGTATACAAGATAAAAAGATATGTGAAATATCTTTTTAAAAAAATCATCCAAACTTTAAAAAGTATATCAGTCAATGATATTAATACAAAACATTTGTTTCCCAATCCATAGGGTAATTTTTAAAAACAGCTAACTAGATGTGAATGAACCAAGGCACAAGACAAGAATAAAACAATTGCTATATCACAGGTTATCACTGATTTATTTACACCTAACCAACGCGGATGGGCGCCTACAGTATAGATCAAGGAGAGTGAGGCTATCCTAACACCCACCCCTTCCCCGACTGGAATTTGTAAACTGCAAAACACTACCAAAAAAAATTACCAACTCAACATGAGCTTAGTTATAAATTTTAAATTGTCACAATTTAAAAAAAAAATATTCAATCTATTTTTTAATAGCTTAAGAGATTATCAGTGAATAAAAGAAGTGACCTCCTCTGCAGACGCCCATACCATTATGTACATAAAAATGTACACTAAAATAAATAAACATTCAACTTGTCCAAGTAGCAGAATGTGGTAGAGACAAGCATAAAATTGACTTTGATATTATAGTTATCTCCCTTGCTCCAAACCATTAGCATTTCTTTATTGCTTTTAATGAATTTAATTCAAACACAATTTTAACTATAGATACTGGACCTTATGTAAAACATTTATTGTGGTAAATAAATTCAAAGCTTATTTTTTTTAAATGGGGGGATGGGGGGAATGAAAACATTTTTATACACCTCAACCACAATAGATAAAGCTGCTATTTATTTTACATTATTTTTAAAAATAAAATCAGATGTAGAAAGTAAAATTTTAAACTGTTCACTAAAGAAATAAAAAATATATCTTTGAAATTAGAAATATTTAAAACATTAAAATACTATTTGCCTGAATAACGTGTACATCAAAAAAAGGTGTGAACAGATTGAAAAAAAATAACTTAATTTTGAGCTTAAATCATAGGGCAGCAATATTTTTATCTCAAAAAAAAACAAACAACAACAATGAATTGCATTGCACAAAAATAAAATGTGATTGATCAAGTCTTTAACAAGTCAACAATTTCCGCCCTGACACTAAAAGCTGACGTGTCAACAGCAACTGTCAGTCAACATTAGTCAACAAAATTCTTATTTTTAACATCTTGTGTTAAAATCTTACATTAGGTGGAATCATTCTCTTTGTTATGATGAACAGTAAAAATTAGACATAGCATGTAACTTTTTAAAACTTTACTTCAGACTAGCTGTGCAAGGGAAGATCACAGAGGGGTTGTTTCCCTTCTGTGTAAATTAATACTTGAATAAATGATAAAAAAAATAATCCTAAAATGAGCTCATATAAATAATACTAAAAATATGAAATTTCTTAATTCTGAAGATGTGTTTTAAAAAATGGAGCAGGTTAATCTGGAATATGATAAAATAAATATTTATTAAAAAAAAAAAAAGAAGACGATTTATTCATAAATACCTGAAAAAATGCGGTGAGTAAAAATAAATAGTCCAGGATATGATAAACTTGAACTCAATATCAACAATTAGAGCCAGGTGTGACTGCTGGGTGCCCAGACCGGGATTTATAAAAAAAATCTGTTCTGATCGAGTGCACGAACACAGGAGCTGCATTAAAAAATCTGAGACTGCTCCGGCTCAATCCAATGCATGTGATCATGGGTAAATTGAAATGCATGTTACAAAAAAAAAAAACTTAAGTTACTGGATGTAAGTTGCTCCAACAACAACAACATGTAGTAGACGCTGCCAGCGCCAGTTGATCGTTGCCGGCATCATTTCATGGTGGCGCTCAAGTCCTCTGCGTCAGCGAACATGTCGTCCAAATCTTCGTCGTCCTGTCGGACATGGTTGTTGATGGCGTCCTGTCCGAAGGTGTCACTTAAAGATTGGCTGTCCCCCTCGCTGTTCATGGCTGTTTTCAGATCGAGCCTAATGGCATGCATGCGGAAATGTAGGCGATTCTCTAGGTAGTAACCTCGGTACTGTTTTCTGAAGAAAATTTTAAAAAAAAAAAGCTCGAAGATTGTTAAAAAAAGAAATAGAAAAAAAAAAGCATTTATTTTTCTTAAATGTAGAAAGGTTGTACAGGCTTTATTAACTTGATAAAAAAAAACAGTTTTTTTTTTTGTTTTACAAACAATAAGAAAGAAAACAATAGCTGTAGTATCACAAGCACAAATAAACATATGGTGAACACATCATCACTAAATCATCATGATGAAGAGACCATAATCACAAAGTACCACAAAAAAAAATTATGTCTCTATTACATCATCTATAAGTAATCAGTATATCCATGTAAACTATACCAAGAAACAGTTGCGTTACAAGGTGGTACTGGAAGAATTGATGGGTGACACAACATTTGAGTGACATTGACAACAGCATACAACATGACAGAAGACATGGACAACATCATACATGACAGATGACACTAATGACAACACAGAACATGACAGATAACCCTTACAACATCATACATGACAGATGACACTGAAAATGCAAACAGAACATGAAGGATGGTACTGACAACAACAAAACACAATGAATGACACTAACAAATGCATACAAGATAGATGACTAGACAACACACAACATGACAAATAACACGGAAAACAACACAGATCATGACAGATGACATTGATTACATCATACATGCCAGATGACACTAATGACAACACTGAAGATGACAGATGACACTAACAATAAACAGAAAAATGACAGATGACACTAACAACAACACAGAAAATGACAAATGACACTGACAACATCATACATGAAAGATTACACTAACGACAACACAGAACATGACAAATGACACTGATGACTCACTTGACTTTCTCCAGGTGTTTCTTGGTCTCCTCAAACCTCTCCTGGTGCAGGTGGAGAATGGCCAGCTCCACCATGCTGTATGGTATCAGGTAGTGGTCACTCACAAGTTTCTTCTCACTGGGGAATCAATTGGTAACTATCTTCAATTAGCTGTCGTATGTTACACTAATATGCACTGATAACAATCAACCATCAGCATAAAGTAATGCTAGCAAAGTACTATTTGACAGGAACAGGACATAACCAGAAGGGTAATGTCAGAATGTCGGGGGGGGGGGGGGGGGAGGAGAGAATGTCCAGAGATTGTCCTAGACCCTTACTGGAGTAAGATCGTGATCAACTCAAACCAACTTTCAGTATCCCACAAACCTTATCCAATACTAGATAGAAATAATCATACCCCAATCCTACAACCTTTCTCAAAAGGCAACTTCACTGTTAGACCATAGTACTCCAACCCTCACAACAAAAACCAACATCAGAAAAAAAAAACAACAAAACAAACAACTTACTTCTCTATAACCTCAGTAAAACACTGCTCTGCCTGAAACTCCTGCCCTCTGTGCCTCAGACAAACACCTTTAATGAGCAGCGCAAGACTGTAGTTGTCATAGTAATATTTATCTTTACTGGCACTCTCTAGGTTTAGAAAGATTAATATATATATATATATATATATATAATATATATATATATATATATATATATATATATATATATATAATTATTATTATTAAACAAACATATACTCCATAAACAAAAACATACCCAATAAATGTACTTATAGCCTAGGATAAGTCAGAACACCCAAATTAATAATAGAATTAATAGCATGAGGACCTGGCTCTTGTGATTTTCTAATATTTGGAGAATTAAAAAACAAATTGCCAATCTACAGATCACAAACTTAAACCTGCTATTAAAAAATTAACGTCAACGTTTTCTTTGAATGCACAACCAAAAGTCATTTTCTCTCTCTCTAGGGAATTGTTAAGAATGCATGAGGACAATATTAATATTGTAATCAAAAGTAAACTCCAAGTTCTGATCACGGGCTTGAGTTTATAGGGCGCCCCTGAGTTCACTCAGCTTTAATGGATACCCGACACACATTAGGGAAACCAAACCTGCTAGGCATAGTGCTAACACACTATGTACCTGTAGTCCGAGGACATTGAAACAGATGTACTCTACTTCATCAGCCCCATGTGTCTTGGGCACAAATGGGAAAAAGATAAGACAATGAAGACAAACAGACGGCACTTGTCCACGCAGTACCTACCTGACTGACCAGCTAATTCTGTGACAGTTGACTCCACAACTACCAGCATCCTCTCCAACAGCTGCCTGTTTTTACCCACAATGTTAAAGCCATTCCACACGTAGATCAACTCCTGGTATAACAGATTAGCAGAGTAAAAATTGTATCAGTCTCTATAGGCATTACAATGTAGTTAAAGTAAAAAAGTAAAGATTAGAGTAGAGTTTCTTGACCTCAAAATATGAAGGGATGGTGTGGTCAGCACTATGCCCAACAGCCTTTACCTTCCCCAAAGGAAGTCAGGTAACCATCAAAGCTGGGATGACTCAGGGATATCCTACAGTCACAAGTCTAAAATGAGATCCAAACTCAAGTTCTTCTGAGCAGCCAAATGCTCTACCAATCGACTACGCTGTCCCATATTACAATATAGAACAAATGGTTTAATTGAAAACAATGTACTGTTTTAGAGAGCTATTTAGATTCAAGACATTTGTGACTAAGCTACAGAGAACATGGAACCCAGTCTAGGAGAATGTGAAAGTCAATGGTTCAAGTACTGGCTACACTGGGATTTGAACCCAGTCCAGCAGATAGAAAAACAATACATGGGCATAAGGAGAGACACTATAGCAATGATTATCACATACAGTGCCTTGAAGTATAGCCAGGCAAGAGGCAGACACTGGCCCCAGCCCACCCCACTCAGGGAAAAATTATATGGGACACCTGACAAACTGGAAACCACAGTCCGGTTTGTCCACGAAGTTGGTCTTGTTGTCTGAATCCTCCACCATATTCAAAAATTAAGAACGAAGAAGAAGAAAGAAGTGCCTTGAAATAAGACCAAATTAACCTGATCTATGAGCTACTGACTAGCGTGGACAGTTTATATTTAGGTTGACCAACACGAGAAAGCTGGACACTGGTCAGCTGTTAAGTCAAGTACTCACCAAGGCTGGCAGAGTCAGATGACCGCCCTGTTGGAAGTATCTCTCAGATTTAGCCACAGCAAATTTTTCAAATGGAAGCGATTTTCCTGCGATTCTTTGCTTCAGTCGAGGCACCTCCCTGTTCATATTTGATATATTTGTTAATGATAAAAAAAAGTATGTGCTTACAACAAGAAACTGTGGTACAGAAAGACAAAGTGAGAAATAAACAAACACATCAATAAACCTAGTTGCAGATAGAATGATACAGGGAAATGTAAGCTAAATCACAACATCATAAAAATTTAAACTGAAAGGCAAAAAGTATGCTAAATAACAACATCAATAAACTTTAGACAAAAAGACAAACACAGTGGAAGGTACGCTAAATAACGACATCACTAAACTTTAGACAAAAAGACAAACACAGTGGAGGGTATGCTAAATAACAACATCAACAGACTTTAGATAAAAAGACAAACATAGTGAAAAGAATGCTAAATGACAAAATCAATAAACTTTAGACAAAAAAACAAGCACAGTAAAAAGTATGCTTATAAATTATATCAATTTACTCTGGTGCGGTAAGACAAATAGGTGAAATGTTAAACAATGACATGAAGATCATTTTTTGTACACACATACACAGCATACAGTGAACAAGTCAAAAAAGATACACACAAACACGATTAACAACAGTTACCCTAAAAGGTAGTCAATGTGTTTTTTAGTTTCCTCTGTCTGATCTGAACACATGATTAAGAAGGAAGCTTTCTGGTATGTGTACGTGGCCTTGCTCCAGCGACTCTCCTTACACAAACGCTCAGCGTATTTCATCGCCATCAGCCAATCACTTTTGAAGCTGGCCAGAGTAAAATTAACATTTTGTACAAATTATGCTGCAAACTTTTTTTTTTTTGAATTTTTTTTTACAACTTACTTGAAGAATCTTTATAGCTAACTAAATAATGTACCTGACATTTTTTTTCTACTTTAACCAAATATTTGAAATTGGTTGCTGAATAAGGTGAACAGAATTCTAGTTTATCCTGCTTTTTGGTCTGTCTTAAATCTCCATGCCCAGGCAGACCAATACATCAGTGTCAGACACCTTACCCCAGAGGAACAGTCCGTACATAAAAATGCAATATTAAGAAATTATGTAACTAGTACTGTTTGACTTATGGTAAGTTTATGTCATGGCTGTGCCTACAAAGTAAATGTTTTGTTCTGTTTATCATTTACAATGTTTCCAATAGTCCCCATTATGTCCACACCTTCATGTCTGAGGTAAGGATCTACCTGCTGGAAGGACCGGCTTACTAAGCAGAAATTTTTGCAAAATTTTACGTACCAATGTTCATTAAAATAATAAAATTAACTTTGTTAAATTCATATTTCCATTTTTTTTTTAATTTAGAGTCTGTTGTGTGCACATTTATCTCTTGGATTTTAGGGTCAGTAGCTAAGGGTTAAACAGAAACTACCCATGTTAAAGACATCAGTGTTTTAAGACATCAGTGTGTTAAGACATCAGTGTGTTAAGACATCGGTGTGTTAAGACATCGGTGTGTTAAGACATCGGTGTGTTAAGACATCAGTGTGTTAAGACATCGGTGTGTTAAGACATCGGTGTGTTAAGACATCGGTGTGTTAAGACATCGGTGTGTTAAGACATCGGTGTGTTAAGACATCGGTGTGTTAAGACATCCGTGTGTTAAGACATCAGTGTGTTAAGACATCGGTGTGTTAAGACATCGGTGTGTTAAGACATCGGTGTGTTAAGACATCGGTGTGTTAAGACATCGGTGTGTTCAGACATCAGTGTGTTAAGACATCAGTGTGTTAAGACATCAGTGTGTTAAGACATCAGTGTGTTAAGACATCGGTGTGTTAAGACATCAGTGTGTTAAGACCTACCAGTGGCACCACATGAGTTCCCAGTAACACAAATGATGGAACTGGCGCCATTCACTCTGTGACTCTATAGAATCTTCAAATTTGTTCACAGCCTAGAAAAGTAGTAAAACTCATAGACAAACTAAAATAGTTTGGGAGACACCAAAATGTTGCAGCATTACAAAAGAAGTTTGTTAAAATGTTTTTTTTTTAGAATTTAATAGTACTTCCTCTTAAACTTGATTGTTAATTAAGTTGTACTGCTTTTAAGTAAAAAATTTATAAATACATGTAGAATAATAATTTTGATCCCGCGTTACTAGGCTCAAATTAGAAACAAATATACTAAAAGTAAAATAGTATGACAAAATGGCAAAATATGTTTTTCATTAATCAAACGAAACTCCCATTAAACTTGAACTATACTGCACCACTCATGCATTGTGTAAATATATCCACACCTAGAGTCAGATAAATCCTCTTAAAAACTTACTTCATCAATGTTTCCTTTCACCTCCTCAAGACGACCAGCGAAAAACAAAAACAAGGCTCCCTACAGAAAATGGAAGAAAATAAAAAACATTAACTGAGTAGGCTTACTTTGAAAAATATATTTTTAAAAATTCCATTCAAACTATCCTGAATAATTTTAAGTAATAAAAAACAAATTACATATCAGACAAGAAAGAAAATGAAAAACATAATTATAATATGATTACAATTCCATCCAAACTATCTTGAATACTTTTAAAGAATTAAAAAAAACATGTTACTTAATCAGAAAAAAGAAATCAAAATTATGCCAAAAAAGTAATAACTTTAAAAAAATGAATCTGCTTTACCTGCGGATGATCTTTTAGGCAAGGTTTAAGTGTCTCAGTTGCCAATTCTATGTCCCCATCTCCCGAACCTAATTGAAAAATTAAACAAACCATTAAAAATAATAATAATATATTTTTTTTTCTTACAACACATATATAAGACATAAAGATCTTACCTAAAATATTTTAACAAACATTAAATTTAATCCATTGTCTAGGTTCTAATCACACTCTGGTAAGATATTATTTTCCTCAAATCACCCAAGGGACATAACTAACAGCACAAAGTTCACCTAAAATGTATGTGATGAGGGAGTGGTAAACGACGAGTATAATGGCACACAGTTTACTCCTCAGCCCAATCCGCAGCTCACACCCTCTCTGGATCTCTGACAACCCAAGTTTCTATCAGATCAAATAGAAAAATAGTTTCGCAGTCAATGTTCTGCTACATGTGATGAAAGCTGTGCAAAAAATTAACTCAAAGAGAAGTGCAGCAGACAAAAAGAAATTACATTTATACATTAAAATAAAACAAATTATAAAAAAAAACACACAATGTGATTCTAAATATATACCTTTTTACCAGAGAAACCAACAAACTCCATGAGCTTCATGATTTTGCTTGGCAACAATGAGACCATCTACAAATGAAAAAAATCGCAGTTAACTTTTGTTATTTAACACAAACAAAAACACCATGTGGAAGAGATAGGAAAATGTAAACATCAGTTATCTAATGCAATGAGACCATCACTAAAAAATTCCCTGATTAGCAAATAAAAAAAACAAGTCAAAGCCCATGAAAATTTAATTATCCATTATATTTATATCTCATCTCATAATTTAGAAATTATAATTTTGTATTAGTAAATTAAACTTCATACATTCTATTCAACAATAATTTTTTTTCTTACCAAATTGAATGTCCCTATACCCATACAGACTCCGCTATCGAAATGAACCTTGTACCTGTCTGTTCCAACTTTTCTATTTCTCAAAATCTTGTGGCACTCCCTGGAATAGTCAACAAGTGTACACAACACAACTGTGATAGAAGATACAACCTAACTAGTCCTAACCAGTATAATGAGAAGTCCACTTACAAAACCTGCTGTCAACTTTTTGGAAATAATGCTGGTTAAAAAAGTGTTACGCCTAATATTCAGTATTTAAGAATTTTTGTTAAAAAAGCTGTATTTTAACAGTAATCTGTTTAGAGTAATAAAAATTAGCAATCCTAAGATCAGCTAACAAGAAAGACGATCTCTGGAAAATTATTTATTTTATTATATATCCTAACTAAGCAGGTTTTGCAAGTGAACTCCTCATAAATAAAAACAAAAAGACCAGAGCATTTACTTGTATATCTTGTAGCTCTCTCTGATTTTGAGGCCACCTTTAATGAAACTGATGAGATTCTCATCTTGTATAAATGTGAGGCAGGCTCGCACCAGCAAACATTCGGCATAACACAATTCAGCATGAATTTCCTCTGCAATAGATCATATTGTTTCAATGAGTGGTTTTAAAAACTTTTCTGTCACATTGCCTCCCTTGATGTGCCCTAAATTCTGGAAACTAGATTGTTGTGTCAGCAAAAGTCATGAATTTGTTTTCACTAAATGTTCACCACGAGGGGAAGAAAATGAAAGAAAGAATATAAAAAAAATGAAAAGTGAATGATTCAGAGTGATACCCTGAGGGAGAGAGAAAATCAAAGGGTATGAATACAAATATTCCAATTTTTAATTTAATTTCTGCTGAATTTCTCTCTTAACTTGAACTATTTTTAGGAACACATTTATAAATTGTTTCCCTTGGCAGTTTCAAATTTATTAATGAGTGTAACTAACACAATTTAATATGAGTTACATTCATGATACATAACTGTTAAACAAATGTTCTCACTCATCATTGTAAATGCAATCTGCCATTTGTAGCAGACAGTGCATCCAGATTACTTCAGGCTCTTTTTAAAGGTCTGCCTGGTGTCTACAAAGCCTAAAGAAACTATTCCTGCTTTATGCCATTATCAAACAAAATTCAAAACTTTCAGTGGCTTTGCTGACTGAAATATTTTCTATTATATTCTTTGCTTCAATGAACAGGTTCAATCAGAAAAGCACTTTAATTACACTATGTATGGTTAAGCAAATTTTTAAAAGCTTCAGTCGAATAACAAAGGTGTAGTAACTATCATGAGATTTTATCATCTTTCAGCATTGATCGTGTATTGTATCCAGAGCTTCCAAATATGACAGTTTTCATACAACAATAGCAAACAATATTTTAGCATAAAGTTCCTCTCTAAGTAACTACTCTATGAGCTTTCCTTTTAAGGATTGTATGACCACTAACATTTTTTACCTATTTGAGTTGAAACTTGACAGGATAAAACCATACAAATCAGCAAAGAAATAAAATCATCCAACAACTGGATTGTGGGTACATCATAAACTTTTCAAATTGAGAATGTAGAGACAAAACATCACTGTTAGGGTGTGAAAATTTACTTATACTCCCAGTTTGAAAACTAGGTATACGGTCACTATATAACATACCCAAGTACTCAGCAGGGCTCAGTATGACATGGACCCCACTGTAAATAAAAAAACAAACAGATTTAGAACTGCCAGGACTATAACATACCTTCAGTATAACCATTGTAATCATTCTTGGAAGCAAACTTGGAGAGGGAACTCATGAATGAAGATTTCTTCCTCACTTGGTTGCATACAATCACAGACTTCTTGATGGCTTCAATAGCCAGTTCAATATCAGCCTGCAAATGTTTGAAAAAAAAAACATACTTCTAATAGATTGAAACAGAATTTTTTTCAACCAGTATTAAGGAAAAAAAAAACAAATAAGCACTAGATATCAGTTTACCTAATAAACAGAAGTGTAAACACTACTCTCCAGTAATACAAAATGTAAAAAAAAAAGTTGCCTTGTCAAATAAACAAATGTGAATGGAGTCGCCTAGCAACTAAAAATGTAAATAAAACAAATTGACGGTACCATGTCAAAGGTCATCACTGCTTGTATATACAAAATGGTCCCATAGCCTAGAGCGTGATACATACTCTTGTCTGCCCTAGAACCAACAAGTAAAAGATGTTATCATTCACATAGTTTAAGCTGAGGAAACACACACTCCCACACCCTTATCCCCATAACTCAGTCCTTTGCTAATCAGACTTTCAAATGCTTTAATACAATTTTTTGCATGGATCACAGTTCAAATTCTCTTGCAGCATAATGGTGACACTAGAAGGAAACACTAGCAGACCCTAATCTATGACCCTATGAGAAACTGACCACACCATCCCCTATGAGAAACTGAGCACACCATCCCCTATAAAAAAACTGAGCATACCATCCCCTATGAAAAACTGAGCACACCATCCCCTATGAGAAACTTACCACACCATCCCCTATGAAAAACTGACCACACCATCCCCTATGAGAAACTGACCATACCATCCCCTATGAAAAAATGACCATACCATCCCCTATGAAAAACTGACCATACCATCCCCTATGAAAAACTGACCATACCATCCCCTATGAAAAACTGACCACACCATCCCTTATGAAAAACTGAGCACACCATCCCCTATGAAAAACTGACCATACCATCCCTTAATCTATGAACCTAAAAGAAACTGACCATGGCTGCATTAGTTCTTGAGCCTGAGCAAACTTGTTGTTGAAGAAAAGGTTCAATGCCAGATCTGATTCTCTGATGCTTGTGTCAAGGTCAAGGTGAGCAGACTTGGAGAACCCTCTGCTTAAAAGAAAAAAGTAACATGTACAATTTGTACAAATTCTATTTGAATTAATGCTAATTAAGTTGCTCAAAGTAAACAACTACCCACTATTCAATACAAATATATGTATAACAATAGTTGTTAGAAACAAGACTTAATAATGTTGACATGGTGTAGCTGTTTCTTTTATTCCTAGGGAATTGAAGGCTGACAAAGTTACCTTGGCTGGGGCAAGGAATCCAGTGCATCCACAAAGTCCTGTTGGTAAAAAATCTCTCGTTAGGAAAGTTAACTTAGGTCACAGCAGTAAAATAAGAGCAACATCTCAAAAACCCTATCAAACAAAACACCATCTAGAGAAATGGCTCAGCTACCAGACAAGATGGTATGGTCATTTGGTAGAGCAAATGCTCAATGGCTTAACTTTCATGAGCTCAGAACCAGGTACATGGCAGAATTTTAACTGGGACTTTAGTAAGATGTAGCCCAGTCCAACCCAGGAAAAGTTTGGCAGGGAGAGTGGTAGTGGGTGGTGGTTGGGGGTGGGGATTGGTAAATGTTACTGGGTATTGTGTTACTACAAAACTACTTGACAATGACACTTCAAGCAGTTTTGAGCTACAGCCAAAAATACTTGCTCTATGAAAATGACGTTTTGTATTTAAGCTATGTCTAATTAATCACCGATTTGTATATACATTTATGGGTGGGGGATGGCGGGAGTTTAAAAAAAAAGGAAGCTGATAACTGTTATGCTTGGTACTATATATTATTATAATGCTTGATTGTAAATATGGAATTTCTTAGAATCACATTTAGGATAGCTGTAGCAGTAAAATTATCATTACTTAGGGACCAAGTGTACAATTTCTAAACTGCTTTAGAACTGACTGAAAAAAAAAACAGCCAAGCGACAAGTGGCTCCAACTGTTGTTGAAGGTTATATTTTAGAAGGATGAAAAATAAAGTGACAGGTAGTAGTACATCAGGCTAATGTAGGCACTGTTTGTTAAAATAACTGTGGCTTGTATTTTATAAGAAAAGATTATTTATAGCCTAAACATACACTTTGATCAATATTTTATCAAAGCAAAATAAAAAAATAGGCGAAGTAAATTAACTGCATTCAAATTTCCAATTTATTAAAAAAAAATCATATAGAAGAAGCCACTTGAGAAAAAGAATTAAAAATTAATTTTGATTGACCCAGCTCACAAATACAACTGCGTGACAGTTGTATAAGATTTGAACAAAAAATCAAGATAAAATGTCTCTTTTCTTTTAAGCTTCAATTGGACAAACAATGTTTCTTCTTTTAGAGCTCAAGTATTGTCAAGTTTTAGTTTTAGGGCTCAAGTAGTGTCAAGTATTAGGGATTAGTTAGTGTCAAGTATTGCTATAAGTGATACTGACTATAAGTATCAAAACACAGTTGTTTCTCTATTTTGTGCTTAAAAGAAAAGTATAAATACATTTATACTACAGCACCAACAGATGGGCATTCACTGACACCAGCACAAGAAATAAAAAAAAAACACCTGATTGTTAAAGTAAAATCATATGTTGATACAACTATTCAAACCTTTACTTGCACCAACACTACCAAACAAAACAAGTTTTTAAGCATGCAGTCATAAAAAAATCATATTTAATTTAAAACCTTCAATGACAGGCATATGGAAATGCATTGTTATACATACCCTTTGTCGAAACGAACTGGCCTAAACAATAAGTTTTATACAATATAAAAAAAATTATTTATAAAAAAACTAAAATAAGAATAAATTAACATTTAGGCCCTAGATGATCTAAATAATAATAATAGTGACACAGTGTGATAATTGCTAACACAGATGTCTCGAGTGTAAGTTTGTTTCCCAAGCGTAGTCTGTAGAATGTTAAGTCCACCCAGCTATAATGGGTATCTGACTTAGTGAAAGTAAACTGAGTTGGGATTTGTGCTGACCACATTATCCCTACACATGTAGAGCAACAAATTAGCAGAACTCTACCTCACCTGCCCTGTGGATTATAGAGGTTGAAAAAGAGGGAGCTGGGGATGGCAATTAAACTTTTGATTTCTCTACATTTAAAGTAGTATTTAATTCACTAGCTTATTGGCTTCAGTATCTGTAAAAAAAACTTTCAGACATCGCCACATTTTACCAAATATTAACCCACCAATTAATATGCAGTAAACTGACTGCAAGAAAAAAATTATCATAAGACTAATGACTAAATGACTATTGGTTTTCTGCACCTTTATCACATTATGATTATACTCATATACTGATTTATATATAGATCTACTCACTACTCTGCTTCACCATTTTGCATCTTTCTTACATTTTTAATTAACCAATATGAATTATTCAGAATTAAGAATGATGAAGTATTTGTTCCTGGAGGTATTGCTTCGGATTTTAAAATTAAAAATATTTTACATTACACCCCATTAATATTAAGACTTGAGAGACAATTCAAGGACGCCTCCATTGATTAATGATTAATGTCTTACTTAATTTAATGAATGATTTCTGTTTTTAGTATTTTAATTTTCTTTTAACATTTCAGTGGACAGAACAGAAGTGAAGAAGTGCTGAAGTAGCCTAGACCAGCAGCAGAGTAAAAAGACGACTGTTTACACAAACTCTAACAATTTAAAATCGTCAACTGCTTACTCAAAAGTTAAACTATGGTATTTTAAAAATAAATAACAAAGGTAATAGTTAATTAAAGATTTCGGTTGAAGATCTACATACTTCATTTTCTCGGTCTTGGGATGCACTTGATCTGTCTTGGGCAGCCATTTTGGTTGCCATAAAACCTCCTCACAGTCTTTCAGTACAAAAAAAACTATTTTATTTTAAGAAAACAAAAAAACTTTATTATTAGTAAAAATATATCTAGGCCAAAGTAAATTTTTAAAAATAAATTAAAAATTCGATAATAAAAACAATTTTATTTTAATTAGAATTTAAGTCCATTTAAACATTTTATAAAAATTAAATAGCTCTAGATGTCTAAAATCAGATTCTGTTCGCGTTGACCTAGATTTTACCCTGTAAAATTTTATACACTAAATTTTGTAAACAAATCAAATAAGAAGAAACGTGGTTTCACAATTCTATCGCCAGACTAGATTAGATCTATCTATTATAGATAGAGTATTATAATATAATGTATTATTTATAATAATTAATTATAGGCCTAGGCCTATTAATTATATATATTATTTGGTGAGGGGGGGGGGGGGAATAACCAACTAACTGGTAATCTATCGTTTTAGGAAATTTAGGTAGAATCTACGTAAAATCGCCCGCGACTAGTAATGTGAAAAACAGGTGACTCCTTAAATTTTAATAATTATTTTACATTTTCAGGAGGATTTCGGATTTATGTTTTGAAAAATAAAAAAATGTTTCCTTGTTTCATTTATGTACCTGTTATTAAACAATGGAATTAAAACTTTTCAGTAAATGTAATAAATGAAGACTAGTGATGTTTCCAACAGATGCAACCATGCTCCTTTACTATAGCTGCACTATTATAGTCTATACTAGTCTATAGCAGCTATCTTGTTTATTTTTTTAATTGTAAACTTATAGTGCAAGCTGTTTAAAGTTAATTTCTTGCCTATATTGATATATGTAGTATGTAGCCATTGATTTAGGTTTATTATTCATTTATCTATAATATTTGACACAAAAAAATATCACAATATACTTCTATTAAAGCCTTGACAATGAGGTAACTTTTTCGTACATTACTAGCCGCGGGCGATTTTACGTACCTAAAACGATAGATTACCAACTAACCTCCTTAACTAACTAAAGTAAGAGTGAACATAACGTCAGTTTTTAGATGACTGTTCTGAGTGTTCTAAACATACATATTACATATACAATTATACATATATATACTGATTCAGAAATAGATTTAAATAAGTAACAGTGGTATTATTAATATTATGACAGTAAATTTTTTTTTACAGAGGGGTCCCCCCTTGCCTACGCCACTGATAATATTAATAAAAAAATAAAATAGAATATTCAATATAGATAGACTAGAGCGATCTCTGATTTAGACATTAGACTCATTAGTTATTTATTTTTGTGTCTTCCAGATTCTCCATATGAATATGGTGATGATTGAAATTGATGATGAATCATAAGTTCAGTTAGAGTAGTTAGATAAAGTTTCAACAATCAGCATGAATAGAAAGAAATCCCTAATCACTGAGGAAAATAGCTCAGCAGAATTGGCAGCTTCATCACCTAAAGCGAAAGTTGCTAAATTAGATGAAATAGAAAATGTTTGTCACCAGGACGTCGAAGAGAGTAATAAATCTACAAACAACTGTAATGGAAATGAGACCCATTCAAAGTCGGAATCAGTTACCACAATTTTTGCTGGCGCTAAACCAGAATTAAATAGTAAAATATTCTGTGAAAAACAGGAACAACAACTGTGTAGTAACTTTATGCTGAAATCTGATTATGGTAGGTACACAAGACTTAGTGAAGTTTACTGACTGTCAGTTTCATAACTTTTTACCAAAAAACTAAACTTGAGATTACAATACAATACTAGATCTACTAAATAAATAGGCCCTACACATATTTTGAGAATATTATTGAGTATTTTCAGATATTGGTAGTAATACCAAGTAATCCAAAATAAATACTATTAAGTGGGGGCCTATGTAAATGTATTTTTATCATGGTGACTGGATATTATAGACAACAGTCTAATTGTAATTGTAATAGCCAAGTAATTCATAATCAGAGTGAAATTTCCAGCATCAACCGTCCATTGAAGATATTGCAAATACATTTCTGATTTAAAAAAAATTCTTTTCTACATCTAGCTTATCAGCTTTATCATTAGGCCTATAGGCCCTGCTAATGTTTTAAACATGAAAAAAAAAGGAATAAAATAAATCAGTAGGCCTATTTCTATAAATAAAGAAGGGCAAGTTATAACAAAAGGCCTATTCAGAATGATGACTAGTTTTTTTGACAGTGTCAGGGTTAGAGTAAGAGTAAGGACCAGAATTAGCTAATGATATGATAGCAAATACAAAAAAAATAAGCTTTGAAAAGACCCTAGCAGAGATAATATTAGACGTACTAATAATTCATCCTTAATCTCCATATTACTTTTTTCTTCAGGTGTAAATGATGTGATGTTGAACTTCTCCCCATTTTGCCATTGTGAATTGAAAAATTTCATATCCAATACTGAGTTTGTTAAAACTTTAGAATCTTTTCTACTGGGGCTTCAGCTTAGGAACAAGAATAATGATTTGTACAAGTTTTCCCTGGTAATTAGTCTTAAGTGTTAGTGGTAGCTTTACTAAATGTGTGGTTTGTTTTAGTCAGAAACTTTAGTCTGCTTATAGTGGACCTATATATAATATAGCATACTTTCAGATATTTAAAACTGATGTTTATTTTTTTTTTAGCTTTTTTATTTTCACCTACATTTTTCTTTTCAGAGTGTTGATCTTATATCGGATGAGTCTCCAGTTATTTCTGATTTTAGAAGGTATTCAATTTCAAGCTTTGTGTTTCTTTTATATTTTATCTTCATTAATTACATTTAAAAAGTTATTTTTATTCCACATTGTATCTAAATTAAAAAATCACATGGCAGTATATAATGTTTATTATGCTTACTGAGGATACTGTTTATAACTTAAATTGAATTCAATTTATTGTTTAACTTTATCCAAATTTATTTTTCATTTATATTATAAAAAAAAAACAGCAATATGCATTTTTGTTTTGTTTTCAGGATTCTTTGTGAGGAAGTAAAAAGCTTTATTTCTAAGGTTACACAAATAAAGCTGAATGCTAAAGTGGATCTTTTTTGTTCAAAATATAAATACACAGGTAAATGAGATTTATTAAGTATATTTAAAAAAACTAATTTCTTAGGAGAAAATAGGTGTAAAAGGGTCAAGTATTCTTTAAAAGTTAATTTACGTAAAATTTTTATTTGCTATACTTTTGTTCAGTTGTGTGGAAATTTTAAAATAAGTGTGCTTTTCAATGTTCTTTTGGAGCCAATATATTTTGGTGATGGGATAAATCCTGGACATTTTCTTAAGGGTTTTAAAAATTGAATTGAGGTTAATGTGTTAACATATATGAAACAAATTTTAGTTATTCATATATTTTAACTCACTATTCCAACTTTTTTTTGTGAACTCTAAACTTACTTCAGCAAATCACTTAGCAATAAATGAATTCTTTCAGAAAGAAATATGCACTTTGAAAACTTTTAAAAGTTTAGAAAAAGATTCATTTCCAGCCTTTTAAAAAATCATATTTTTGTCTTCTGTGAGAACATTCCCATTAAATATAGATATTCTCATCGTAATTGCGTCACTTCCCAAAGAACTATTTTTTCGTAGCTTTGAAGTTCAGGTTAGATGTTATTGATTTATCACCAGATGTTTTGCTATGCCATGATGATGAACTAGAGAAGCGCAGAATTGCCTTCATTTATTACCTGGTACCAGAGAACTGGTCAGCCGCAGATGGTGGCACATTGGACCTTTTTGATACAGATGGTGAGTACAATACACTTGTTTGTCGCTCACATTTATGTCACATTGGTACTTATTTACATCAGTCGTCTTCATTCTGTGATTGTCTGTTTGTGATCTAATTGAGAAACTGGCAGTTGTAGTTTGTTGGTTATAAATGCTGTCATGATTTTAAGAAACGGGTACAATTTTATAAGCTAAGATGTATATTGTTGAATTAGTTTATATTCATTTAAGAATTTCTGTAATTTTTTTAATGTATCATTGACTTTAATTTTTGTTAGCTTTGAGTTTATTTTAAATCACAGATAATGGACAGCCAAGTTGTGTTGTTAAGTCTGTTGTCCCAACAAGAAATAGCTTTTTGTTCTTTGAAGTTTCTACAAAATCCTTCCATCAGGTGAATTTATAAAAAAAAATTTATTTACTTTTCTTGATTTTTTTTGTTTTGTTTCAGATTAAATTTAAAAGTGGATTCATGTTTTTAAGGCAGCATTAACTTTTCTCAGTTTTCAAATACTTTTCCATCTGTTTGTTGTTTTAGGTAGCTGAGGTTCTATCCCAGGATAAGACAAGACTTTCAATCAGTGGCTGGTTTCACGGCACACCTGTCACCCGACCACCTGTCTATGTGGAGCCCTTGCCACCTGCTTTACCTTATGGCAGCATTGATGTTAGTTGCTTCATAGGAAAGCAAATTAATATGTATCACATAAAAAATTGCCAGCTTGCATTTAATTCTATAATTAAACTGTAAAAAAAAATGTGTTACCATATAGTAATATTTATTAATCCAACATTTAAGCTAGTAGTATTATTACCAGTATCTAGTAAATTAAATTAAATTTAAAAAATCTATTTCTATGTTGGAAATACAAGCAGATTCCTACAAGGATTTGTAATGATGAGTCCACTCAGTGTTTAAATTTTTATTCTCCCCAAACCAAACCTATAAGTAAAAAAATATTTCATAAAAATAATAATTAATAACAAGCTTTTATGTTATAATGTTATAAAAAGTAGAAAATAAATGATTTTCTTTAAATATATAATAATACATCACTATTTAAATTACTATAAAGAAAAGCTGATACCAAACCTGTAAGTTGAAAACTGATCTCCCCTGCACTGATACCAAACCTATCAGTCTGAAATGACATCACCGGTGCTAATATCATAACTATAAATCTGAAACTTATCTCCCCTGTGCTAATACCAAACCTTTATGTCTGACACATACTTACCTAAGTTAATTGTAATTAAAATACCTGCTCATCTTTTGCAGTTAAAATTTTTTTTACATTCTAGACCATTATTCTTGTTTGTTTTAAAATGTTTAAGTATGTTAAAATAAGAGCTCTCTATTACAGGAGGACATATTCTATTCCTGGTTGAATCCTATCTACCTTGACATTGAAGTACAGGCAGATATAAGGACAAAATTTGAAGCAGAGTCTGAAATTGAATTAACAGATTTTTTGCAGGTTTGTGTTTTAGGTTTTAAGGAACTTGGACTGAAATATTCTAATTTGTTGTAAATAGCAAGTATGGTAAAGTTTTTTTAATGTATGATTAAAGAGCAATTTAGTTTAACAATAAAATACATGAGTGGGATGGTGTGGTCAAATGGTAGAGCTTACACTTCCTAACTCAAAATCATGAGTTCGGATTCCTGGCTTGAGTTTGTAGAACGTCCCTGAGTACACCCAGATCTGATAGGTACATGACTCACATTTTGGCAAACAGGGGCTGCTGATCACAGTGCTGATCATACTATCCCCTTGTATGCCTAGTCCATTGAAACAGATGAGCTCTACTTCATCTGCCCCATGTGTTTTGGGCACTACCATGAAAAGACAATGATGAATAAAATACAAAAATAAAAAAATAAAAAACTTTGTCTAAGCTCTGATGCTATTGTGTCAGAGAAATAAAAAAAAATTTAAAACCTATTTTTGGTATAATTTGGATTTTGCTTATGACATTTGCATACCACCATTAAACGTTATCTGCATTTGTTACTTTAGGAAGAGAAGTATGAATCTTTAATGAGTGCCATTCAAGATGCTAACATTGAGTGGTCACTACTGGGTCCAGCTAATAAAAGGTAGACAACTTGTATAAAAATTTGATTACTAACTTAGATAACTTTTGTAAATTTTTTGCTATTTTGTTTTTTAGTTTTTTTTTAAAAAATATTTATAATTGTGCATGTTACCTATATGACATGAATAGGAGGTCATTTTAAAAGTAATACACTTGATTAATTATAAATTTATTTTTGTACCCATTTTTTAAAATCTTGAGGCACGTTCAGTTTTTAAGTTTTGCAATTGCTTCTTGTGGCGTAGAAAATACTACCTGGCAGATAAGGAAAAGCTTCCATCAGTGGTGGCTGAATTCCTCACCTTTTGTCATTCTGATGCAGCCTTCCTCCTGCTGTCTAACCTGACTGGCTTAAAGCTGCACCCCCTCGCTCCTGTGTCAGATGATGAAGATGACACTAACGCTGCAGGGTCATCTGCAGGGTCATCATCCAGTGGAGCAGGTGAGTTTCTCTATTTTAATCTAATAGTTCCCTTACAGTATAATAATAACACCATACAACAGGGAAAAAAACTTTCAATTATGATTGATGGTTTTGTAGCATTGTGGTTCATTTTTAGTTAAGGTGGAGTTTTAACAGATCTACATTCTACTCTGTAACTAATGATGTATTGTTATCAGATTAGATTATTTCCCCTTACCTTGTTAAAAACTAGAATTATAAAGATGTTCTTTGTGAAAACCTCAGATAATGCTGCACATAAGGCTTGACCTCATTGCCAGTCATATTTATAGACAAATTAGTAAACAGCTCAATTTAAGCTTAGTTTTTGATAATAAAACATGTAAATGCAAAAAAAAAAAAGAATTTAAAAACTAAAATTTCAAACAAAAAAGAAAAAGCACTAATAAGTTCATTTTTATAGGTTTTTGTTTGGGTTTTAAAATCATGTTAAACATCTTAGAGATGCTTTATTTTTCTACACTTTTTATTACATTAAATTTTAAGTGACTTGTTCTTTCTAGCTAATAAAATACATTTTTTTTTGTTTCAGCCAGCAACCCCAAATGTCGGAGTGAGGTCCGCAGGTGGGAACATGGATGCTACACACTGGCACATGACACGGATGTGGATAACCTGGATTTTGCCTTAGACTTGATGTTGTATGTTGGCTGTGATAAAGGTGGTTCTTATGTCTCACAGTACCTTGTTTTGTTTGGGTAGTAATAGGTATAATATCTGTGGGCATCTGTGATGGAGGCATTAGTTATATGTGTATTAGTTATATGTGTGCAGTCTATGGGTAGTGTGATGGAGGCATTAGTAGAATGTACCCTATATGTGTGGATTGTGATTGAGGCATTAGTTATTTGTGTGCAGTCTATGGGTAGTGTGATGGAGGCATTACTGACATTAGTAACATGTGCTATTGTTGTGCAGTGTAATGGGGGCATCAATATTATGTTGGCTGTAATTAAAAGGGAGTCTCTTGTCACAGTGCCTTGTTTTATTTGAGGTAATTTGCCATTTTGTGGGCACTGATGGAGCCATTAGTTATATGTGTGCTATCTGTGGAGTCTCATGTGATGGGTTCATTAATGCAACAACTATTTGGGGATTGAGATGACTTTTTCATGCTCTGTTTCATTTTATGAGACAAATCAGCTTTTAGATACACAGAATAAAATTTTTGTGTAAAAAAAACTTTTTTTTTTTACATTAGTTTTAGTTAACTTTTCTGTAATGTAAACATTTAACTTTTTAAAGCATAGTAAATAATGGATTATCAATGTTTGAGTTATTATTAAAAAAAGTTTTTTTCTGTTCTGTACATCTAGACTGGCTGTTTGAAAACGGTGGCTACACATCGTACATAGCTAAAGGGGAGGATGAGGAGGTGAGTTTAACCAGTCTTTGTTGTGGTACAGTCTCTAGCTATGACTGGCAGTAAGTTAAGCTACTTCATTTCAACCTTGGCGGGCCATGGGGAATATGTAGTAGATTCCACCTGTTTCTGTAACCTTGGCATAGGAATGCTCAATGCCCAGTTGTCTTTACATATGTCAGATATCCAGCAGAGCTAGGTGGACAATGGGTTGTCCAAAAAATTCAAGCATGGGATTTGAACTCACGACTTTCAGGTTAGCATTCATGCGCTCTACCATCTGACTATGCTGCCCCATGACTACCTGTATACAATGTGAAAAAAAAGTTAAATATTTTCAAAACCTGGTGATTTGTTGTGCTGACACTGAAAGAGTAAGGTGTTTCAGTTTTTCATGAATATACAAAGGATATATAGCCAGAATGAAGTCTAGATTCTAGCCATCTCTAACCAATTTAAGTTAGCTACACATAAGAGCTGGGTGGGCTCATGGGCACCTTAAAGCAAAATCTAGACTTAACAGTTATTTGAAACCTCTTTTTCTCTAGCCTAATACAGCATTGATTCATCTGGTTCAGTAGTGTTTGGTATGATACTATATCCTCCAGTTTTCCCAGTTTGACCTGGGGGGGGAGTAATTAACAAGGGATGCAATCCTGCTCCTCGTTATATATGCTGTAGTGTAACCTCATTCAGTGGTGTTTTTATGTAGTGCCATAGATGAAGTTATTTCTTGTTATGAATTGTGATAATTATCTTGTTTTTTTTTGTGTCCAGCTTTTGTCCGTGTGTCCATCAAGAAATTCACTAGCCCTCGTGTACAGGGACAAGCACACGATGAAGTTTGTCAAGCACATGAACCACAGGGTCACCCAGAGGTCACCATCAGTTTTTTATGAAATTAATGCAGTTTATTATGAATAATGAATGTTCTTTATTTTTAATGGAGGGGGGTGAAGTTAATCTAATGTAAAATTCTTTTATTAGCTGGAGTACAAATTTTATTGGTTTATTACCGGATCTTCTGCCTAAATTTGCATGTAAATTAACAACCAATCAGAATTATACATTCAGCACAAAGTAATGATAATGCAAATGGGATTATAGATACACGGTAGTTCAGCTATGAGGCAGTGTAGTATTAGTAATGTTATACTTGGGCGTTTCATAGTATTTATACCTCATTATGGTTCAAGAAGATTTAAACAAATGAAAGCATCACATATTTACCTTTGATTTAATGCCATGTTCAATTATATGAGTAAATAGACTAGACAATGTTGAAATTGTTTTTTTAATTAAATGATAACCATGCAAAAACTTTGCCTTTGTTATGCTTAGTTCACTTTTTCCTACTGTTGTTGATAAGAGCTCAGACATAGCTGACCAGTGAGTGAGTGGGTCAAAGGTTAATTACTAAGGCAATAAGAGTCATAAGGCTGATGAGCTTAGTAGAAAATGATAAGCTCAGGAAAAAAACAAAGATTTTAAATTGATCAGGATTGAGTGAGCAATGTCACTTGGCATAAGCCTTTAACTGGAATTTCCCTTTGATTATTAGGTTTATTTACATATACTGGATATTGTAGTGACTAAATAATCTAGTCACTATGATACTCTATAGATACAATGTGACATTAATGTCTGAATGTACTGTCTGGTGAAGATGACCTCCCTTATCCAAGCTGTACAGGAAAAAAACAATTAGTTATCAAGTGATAAACTTTTGAATAATACCGCCCCACAAGAATTCTTTCTGGAGACCTGGCGGCCCAGTTCACTGACACCTTTTTATTAGTTAATATAATTAATAGCCACTGTTGATTTGAAGGCTGTTCTACTAATTAATACTTGTAGTTTCCAAGCACATCTTGGGGGGGGGGGGTATGTATATACTTTCATCATCACTTCCCGTCACCCCAGCTAGGGTATGAGCAGCTAGCCAAAGATCTCCAGACTCCTCTGTCTTGTTCCCCTTCTTTCAGGTTGCCGTTTCTGTAATGAGCTTAGTTTTACAGGACCGGGTTGTTAGCCTAGAGCCCAATCATCTAGGATCCCCTCTCTTCTGGCAAGTTTCTACTCATTACATATAAGGCAAAAGTACATAATTTTGGTCTACCCCAGAGTGTTTCATTTCCCCTGTTACCTACCATTACGTAGGACTATATACTTCAACTGATGAAGTGACCTAGTGGTAGAGAGCTAGACTGCTAACCCATAAGTCTCGAGTTCAAATCCTGGTTCAAGTCAGTAGACCGTCCCTGAGTCCACCCAGCTGGGTACCTAACTCACGTTAGGGTAAGTAAAGGCGGCTGAGCATAGTGCTGACCAAACTATCTCTTCATATGCCTGTGTCACAGAAACAAATAACTCTACTTCACTTGCCTCATAGAACGTTAGGGGAACTTTCCTTACATACTTCAACTACTTTTACTGGAAGTTTTGTGCAAGACAAGGCGTAAAGCTGACCCATGTAATAAAAATTAACAATTACTGTCTGAGATACATGTCTAGACTAGAAAATATAGATCTATAGCTCCAACTTCAAAAGCTTTGTGCACACAACAAACTTAAATACAAATAAATCAATGATGCAACATATTTTATTGAACCAAAACTATCAAACACAACATCTCTAGCTATATCCTCAATATGGATCCCTGTTTCTCTTCTTCAACTCTTTCTGTGTTGATATTCTCCAAGCTATGTAATTCTTTTCTATTAATTTTCAAAAAAGTATTAATAAAACAATTGATAAAAAGCGTTCTAATAAAATCGCTATTTATAGATGTAAAAAAGAAGAAAATAAATTATTTTCTTTAAATATATAATAATTCACCACTTTTTAAATCACTATAAAGGAAAAAGTGTTGCATACTAAACTTTGGTAAAGGTACTAAAATATTTTATACTACTTTGACTCCGCTGATCCTATATAAAGTAAATTAAACATTTACTGTGTAAAAGTATCTGGCAACTGTTAATTGAATGGGCCTCAAGTAAATGTACTTTTTGTTCGGGTATTCCCATTAATTTTTAAATCATGCCATTTGGGACAGCGGAAAAATGTGTCTATAATTTTTTTAAAAACTTTTTTTTCCTAAATAAAGCCATTTAAAAAATTGAATATAGATATTTTGACACTCAAGTGCAATAAATTTCTCGTTTTTCAACAAAGATTTACATTAACGTAGCCTTACCAAAGCTAACTATTTGGTTAAGCAGTAAGTAGAATTTTCAGATCTAGGTCATACCAGGTGTGTCAACATGGTTAGTGTCAACATTAGCCTAAGTGTTTTTTAAACGGCGTCCAATTCTGTTTCACACACTTGTCAGTAAGATTGATACATCTAGAAGCATTTAATTAATAGCATTAAATATTAGTATCAACAGGCCTACCTTCTTTACAAAAATTAATTCTGCTTTAAGAACGTTTGCTTTACAAATAAATAGTAAATAGGCCTTGCCTTATAACATTGAAGTTTGAAGTAAAAAGTTTACATACATTACAACCTAGGCGTGTTAGTAGTAGAATCTAGTAGTAGTACTAGTAGTAATATTGTAATTTATTGTATTGTAGGTACGAAGTTGAGCCTAGAGTAAGAAATTCTGAAATTAGGATTAAGACCAGGGTTGGTCTTTGGGTAGTGTTGACTCAAAATTAAACTACTTAAATTAGAGTTTCTTTGAGGTATCTGCAGGGGGTGGGGGAGACCAAATATAATTTATACTTAAAATATATATATATATTTTTTTATTATATATATTAGATCTATACTATAACCATCAGTGTCTTCTCCCTGGAAATTATAATTTGCCCCTCCCTCTCCTCCCCCTACCCCCGGGAAGTTTCAAGTACCCTCCAGAGAAAAATGTGTGAAAGAATTCCTAACTTTAATAGTTGCAAGTAATGTCAACTGTAAAAAAGCAAAGAGGTGTAGCTTTGTTGATAGCTAGCTTAAGCTAGTCTCATGCAACTATATGGTAAAGTACTAATCTCACAACATTGAGTTCAACTGGATTGATATAAAACACAACTTGAGTCCACCCAGCTCTGATTGGTACCTTACTCACATTGGGGAAAGTAAAGTTGGTGAGGCATAGTACTTACCACACCATCCTTTCATATGCAGAGGTCAAGAAACATGAACTCCACCTGCACAATAAATCGTTAGCTCATAAGAGGAACTTGAAAGTGATAAAAAAAAATAAACACTCATTATATTTGTGCAACTACATGTCTGCCGTTACTTGTCCAGCTGAATAATTTCTTTCTCTTGTTCTGCCCACAGAACAAGACCCAGCAGTAAAAAAAATGACCTGACCCTCTCAACAAACACCTCAGCATGAACCTACTCCGGGCATGGAACACGTATGTCCCAACACACATACGCAGGAATGAGTTCATCCCCGTCATTTTATTTGTCTTGGCTATTCTGACTTTTGTGTGGCTGGGGCATATGTACCGCTACAACTGGAGACCCAACACCTTTTGTGAATCGGAGATCAACTACAGATTGTTGACACTCAACAAGTCACGCATCCACATGCTGCCTCCTACAGCCCCGCGTGTGGCCACAGGTGAAGTACTCCACGCGGCTGATGACATTTATAATAATGAATGTGTCGAGGTATTTGGACCACAAAAGAACGGACCTTTACTGATCTGCATTCATGACCCAAGAAGAGATCTTATGGTGTCTGCTCATTTAAAGGTATGCCAGATTTTTATGCTGGCCAAACAGGCATGTGCTAATTTTATTCTTTGTTCTTAAATGCCTCTAGATTTCAATATCTTTTATTTTAATATTTTTAAAGTAGGTATATCTGATAAACATGGACTGGAATTTAAGACCCAGGACCAAAGAGATGGGGCTTCCATTTTTTAGTAAATTATCTTAGCAGTTTTTGAAATTTGAAATCTTTGTCAGTATGGCATGCAAGTGATACAAATTTTATGGTAGTTTAAAAAACATATTTGTCTCTTTTGGAACTGCCATTAAAACAGTTAAAGAAGAGTTAACAGAAATGGACTGTGTGTGTGCCTAACAGGAAAATCTCAATTCTGGTAACCATGTGTCTAAACAACTGGTGGACATCAGCTGACTTTGCTTGGTAAAGAATAGCCTGCTGGGCATAGTGATGATCACACAATCTCTTCATTCAGTGATGTTGCTAGATACAGATGAACATACATCATCTGCAACTACTTTAAACAATTTAAACCATTTAAACAATTTATATGTTAACATATACATAATTAAGGGACGGAGTGGTCTAGCGGTAGAGAGCTGGGCTGCTAACCCGTAAGTCAAGTTCAAATCTGGGTTCAAGTCAGTAGGCTGCCCCTGAGTCCACCCAACTCTGATGGGTACCTAACTCACATTAGGGAGAGTAAAGGCTGCTGGGCATAGTGCTGACCACACTATCTCTTCATATGCAGAGGTCACAGAAACAAGTGAACTCCACTTGCCCTATAGACAGTCAGATTTGAAAGGGAACTTTACTTACTACTTTATATACATAATTATATACCAAGGACACATGGGGCAGATGAAGTTGAGTTCATCCGCTTCAGAGACCTTGGCCTTTAAAGGAAGAGTGTTTCCCCAACGTAAGTTAGGTACTTAGCTGTTGGACTCAGGGACTTTCCACTGATTTGAACCCGGATTCCAACTCGAGACTCACGGGTTATCAGTCTAGCTCTCTACCACTAGGCCATGCCATCCCATATATACATAATTACTAACAAGATTATTTTTTTTGTCGTAATGTTTACCAGGAGGAAGGGGCTTGGGAGCCAGAAAACATAGAAGCCCTGTACCAAGCCCACCAGATGTTTCCCCAGATGGTGTTGGTAGATCTAGGCTGCAATGTTGGTGTCTTCACACTACCAGCAGCCCAAATGGGGATGGAGGTAAGCACCATTTTTAATTGTTCCTATGGGGATGGAGGTAAACACCATTTTCAATTGTTCCTATGGGGATGGAGGTAAACACCATTTTTAATTGTGTTCCTATGGGCATGGAGGTAAACACCATTTTTAATTGTGTTCCTATGGGCATGGAGGTAAACGCCATTGTTAATTGAGTTCCTATGGGGATAGAGGTAAACACAATTTTTATTTAACTATTTATTTGAATCAGTACTATTAGTTTAAATTTGATGTATTGTAACTGTTACTAGTGTATAAACATTTTGACATAGTTTTTGCATTTGCCCTTAGCCCAGAGCTTTACTTACTTGGACTTGGTATATTTTGTAATGAACTCATTCCTTTTTCCTTGCTTTGACTATTCACACATTAAAAGTGTCTATTACCAGAAGTAATGTTTTTGGAGGTAAACATGGCAGTTAAATTTCCCTCACAGCATCTGGCTTATTTTTCAATAGCTTTGCAGCCAGATGACAATATTTATAGTTCATTATAATGTAAAGTGAATAAACCAAGATTCACTTAAAATAAACAAAAAATATTTAAAAAAACTGATACAAGTAGAAATAAAAACAATTTTGTTTTCTGTTTTTAAATAATTTTATGCCAAATTGAAAGTCAATTATTATGTTTTTTTTGACAATAACTTTATATTTTCTCACTTTTCTCTAATTTAAGAGGATAATTTAACTGCATCTCAATAATAAAAAAAAAATAGTTTTAATGAAGACCTCTAATTAAAACATTTGATCAATTAACAAAAAATGTATTTTATTGTCCTATAAATTATACTAATATTAAATTAACAGTTTAATTTTCTCTAACACCTCCACCAGGTGATTGGCGTAGACTCTATGATGTTAAGTCTAAAACTCCTCCAGAGGTCGCTGTTTATAAACGGACTCTCCTGCCGTGTGACACTCATCAACAATGCGCTGTACAGCAAGCGGGTCCCGATGCGGGTCGCAGTTGACCCGAGCAATGTCGGTGGCTCGACTGTCATGGAGATCCTTGAGAATCGTAAAGATCAGATTAAGCCCAGGTGTGTTGAGTCATATTTGCCAGATCAATATGCGTTGTATAGATCCAAATAGTGGCATAGTAATGGTGGGTTATATTTCCTAAGTTAAAAAAAAAATAAGACGTTGATGTGATGGTACTAGATAAGATAGGCAAAATCTAGGTTCCACTCCAGATACAGATCTAGCTGAATGCCTACACATTGATCTACTGACAATGTAGGCTTTCACAGAAAGTCTCAAATTACTTAATGGTTAAGGCTGCATTTTGTTGGAAGCTTTCTGGTGGTGTTCAATTAATTAATTTTGTCCTCAAGTGTAGCTATCATGTTTGGCAATAGTTATATATTATTTTCACCTTTTTACTTTCTTTTTCTCACTAATCGTTCTGCATAAAGGGTTAATGTGTTAAGTTAATGAAGGACTTGGTTTGTTAAAAGGTTAATGAAAGGTTAATGAATGTTGTTGATGAAGACCTAAGTTTGATAAATAGTTTATATGTTTGAAATATCTTATAATTGTATTGCTTAAATTGAACTACCAAATTAAACTAAGTCTTCACTCTCACACAATATACAGCATGTTTTTACAACAAAGCTGCACATTGACAATTGTAAAGATTATGTAATTATTTCACAGCCAAATTGTTGATGCTATATGCCTGGATGATCTATTGCCTTTTGTGCAAGGGAAGGATATTTTTCTAAAAATAGATCTGGAAGGGAAAGAAGAAGCTGTACTAAAGTGTGCCCATGAGTTTTTCAAAAATGTGAACATAAAGGTAAGAAACAAAACCTTTTGAAATTGTGTATTCAGTTTATGAATTTGAATGCAGTGCTAAGAAAGAGAGAAAAATATTTGAAACTAGCTGGTATGATTTTTAAAAATAGTTATTTACAACACTCAAGGAATCCGGCGTGGTCGGATGGTAAAGTTAATGGTTATTCAACCGAAAAGTCTAGAGTTCAAAAACCCGAGCAGATGAGGCTTGATAGTTAGGGACAGCAACCCATCTAGGAGAGACAACTCCAAAATCAAACAACTCCTGCCTTGTAGTTTGTTCTTGGTTGGATAAAGGCTATGGAAGCAAATCCAAAAAGAAAGGTAGACTGAAACCGGAGTCAACAGCCTATATGGTGCATAACAAGTAAGGACAACACTTGAGTAACTGGGTTTATCCATAGCCCTCATTTGACCTTCATCAGTTTTTGTTTTAAAAATTATTTTTATAATAGTGTAAAAACTAGCGTAAAGCTATAAAACTTAAAAACATTGGGGGATGTCTTGTGGTAGAGCACACTGTTTCTAACCCAGCTCCAAGTTCTCTCTCTCTGGCCTTAAGACTATGAGCACAGTTTCTTTAACACCTCTCTTCAGGGGAGGGGATCAGTGTTATTTTGCCCCCCCCCCCCCTCCCCCTCGACATATAAAATAGACAAAAATAAAATTAATTTATGTAGAAAATATATACTTTAACCAGTGCTGTCATTGTCTACTCTCCCCCCCCCCTTCCCACAGAATTTAAGTGCTCCCCCCTCCCCAAAAACTTTATGTCTGAAAGCCCTAAGTCTACCCAGGGGCTAAGATAGATACCAGATTCATGTCTAGGAATATAAAGGTGACTGGATATTGTGCTTGACCACACCATCCTCTTAAGTGCACAAGTAAAAGAAACAAATGAACAGTTTATTTGAAGGAACAAAAATGCTTTCTTCATTTTACTCTTGATACCCAAGTATGTTGTAATAAATGTGTTTTTAAATTAATTTTTAAAATTAAAATTTGTGAATTTTTTAGGTTTTGTTGATAGAATGGATGTACTACAGACATAACGAAGAGGCCAGCAAATTCATCAAGGAATTTCTGGTGTCCCATGGCTTAAAGCCGACCTGGGGTGTAGATTCAGACAGGCATATTGACCTGTATGCATCACACAGTTGGCCAGATAATGTTTTTTGGATGAAAGCTTAATTAAAAACAATTTTTTCCCCATCATCACACTATGTTTATAAGACTGGTCCAATAACTATTTGAACAGTCTTTTAAATTAGTTTGAACTATGTTCAAATGAAAAACAATCTTTTAGTTAGAGTTGTAAACTTTGTAGAAATATTCCAGCAACAATTTATTCTTGTATACTGTATGTTATGTAAATATCTGTTTTATTCTTCATGCAAGGGACATAATTTATATGTATTTTAACATTAAAATATTTTCCAGTTATGTCCCTTATTTAGTTTTTACTGTAGCAATAATCTCCATACATTCCATTATAAAATATTGCCTTAATTTTGTATAATATGAAAATTATAGTATAAATGATTATGTTGATGGTTTTTTTAACCAGAAAGATTACTGTTTTCAGTCAATACATCTTTTGAGATTTTAATTTTGCTTTTTTAATTATAATTCATTTAGTATCAAGCTGACCTTTTTACATTTTGTGCTGTATTTTGCAATAAACTCCACATAATATACATTCTCACCTTATTATTATGTTTATTTTAGTTTGCACCTTAACACCATACACCAGGCAGAGAAAATAATCACATCGATTGATGATGTGTATCAAACTCAATACAGCAATTGCGATGTAATATAACAAATACCTGGCTCCTTGACACCTCCCCCCCTCCCCCCCCCCCCCCGGGAAACACTACCTCCCCCACCCAGCGAAGAAATCTGGAAATAAAGCTCCCCCCCCCCCCAACTAGGCAAATAATTTTAAGAGAAAATAGATGATTGAATATATTTTTAAAAACCATTACCAAAGAACATTTTTAATTAATGAATATTGTTAAATTAGAATTAAAAATAAACACAAATTTTAAATAAAATGTCCGGGGGAGGGGCGGACAGTGATAGAGGTATATATTTTAAAAAAAATTATTTTTCATTGTGGGGGGGGGGGAGGGGGGAGTCAAGCACCCCCCCCCCCCCCCCCGAAGAGGTGCCTGCAAGAAACTGGCTCTACTGTTACAATACTGAGTCTCACTAATCCATTGGTTAATCAACCAGCATGTTTCTTTGATCTAACATTTAACCAACCTTTAACCTCCGCTGCTTTCAACTCAGCTCATAGACTAGTGACTAGTTTCTGTTGTCATGTAGGTCCTCTTTAAGGTGTTGTCAGTGTCAGTCCTTGTATGGTGATCACAAGTTGAGTAGAACAAATACACACAAAACCACACATTAACTGTCATTCGTCACACTGTTCGGTATATTGGAATATCTTCTTGAAGTAAATTATGGAGATATCGTAATTCAATACTTTAAATTAAAAAATATAATCGATTATCGAACGTTAAATAAATCGAACTTCTCTCATCATCAACGTTGTCCAACGGTTTTTGTAGAGGCATCAAATACTTGCTTACAACTATTTTAGTGTAATACATGTAACAATAACTTTATACAAGGTAGATGGGACAGGTAGGTAGATGGGACAGGTATGTAGATGGGACAGGTAGGTGTACAGTCTATAATGTAACTATAGCTTCAGACAATGTAGACGGAACAGGTAGGTAGATGGGACAGGTAGGTATACAGTCTATAATGTAACTATAGCTTCAGACAATGTAGACGGAACAGGTAGGTAGATGGGACAAATAGGTAGATGGGACAGGTATGTAGATGGGACAGGTGTGTATACGGTCTAAACATGTGACTATAGCTTCAGACTTTCAAGGTGGAACAGGTGTATACATATGGTATTCATCTATGACCTCAGACTAGTTAGGTATACTAGGTAGGTATACCTTCTATGCATGTAACTAAAACTTTAGACAAGGTAGATGGAACAGGTCAATATATATTTACGGTATACATCTATGACCTC